GATTTTACGGTGAATTATGTCGATCTCGCACCGCGATATTTGCAATTCGATTCGCGGCGCGAATCATCGGCAGGACACTCGGGGAGAATTCCCCGAGCGCGTCGGCAGCAATTTAAGATCGTCGCCGAATTTCATGAACCCGGCGCTTGTAGTACCGGGGACTGGAGAGACTGCGGATGAAATTTTTCGAGCACCGGAGTGGAAAGAAGCATCTTCGACGTTTCGAAGTGGTAAATAATGGAGGGTGACGGACGGGAGTGTTGCTGCAGGCTGTTGCGACGACGAGGGGCGGATGGGCGGTAGAGAAGGGGTGGCGGACGCGGTGGACGGTCTGAGACGGAGGAGATGGCGGAGAAAAGGATCGAAAATTGCACGGTAAACTCGTGCCACGATTTCCACCTCTCGGCGCGGTAAATTGAGAATAAACAGGCGTAGACGAGGCCGATGGAGTATTTCGCGCGTCTAGCGAGGATTCACGGAAGGAATCCGGCGAGGACTGGTGTTTGATTTCACTCTCTTGCGAATGATCGATGCGAGGAGGGGTATCTTCCTCTCGCGACCGTACAACGATACTGCGAAATCTCCTCCATATTCCAGAAGATGGATTAAGTCATAATTGATTAATAAATACGACCGACTGGTATACACAAAATTTCACTTTATTATCATTTATGGTAACATATTTTATTTTTGTGTTATTTATATATGTATATAAAATTGTATTAAATATCATACGTAATATATTTTAGTTTTTTCTAGTTTTCGCGAAATGCGCGCAGAATCCACCAGAAATGTTCGCTGCTACACACCGAAGGTTCGCCTTCAGGTAACAGGCAATCGCGATAGGGCACCTTTTCTTCCGGGATAGACCCCAAAGAAATCTTATCTTCGCGCGTATTTACAAACTCCTTTCTTCCGAGCCTTTACGTATTACCCATCGCCATCTCATTCCATTCGGCGCGGGCAATATCGCGCGGTGGAAACGTATATACGGGAAACGTATAACGTTTCGAATTGCACGTGTTGCGTCCGTGTCTTCCCTTCTCTCCGATACGGTATTGCGCTGTCGGCAAAGTCTGCGTCCTCTCATCCATCACCGGGCTAAGGTCGCCCCCGCAGTAGTCAGGAAAAGACGAGAAAGGCCTGCAAGGCCGACAGGAGCTTCCTCCCGATATCTCGACACGACGTTACGATTTGTCCGTGAACCGTGTGTGTTCCGTCATCCCGAAACAAAACTGCCCGGTCGAGCGTCCCGAGGAAAGTCGTTGCGACTCGCCAACCGAGTAATTTCGACGTTTCTTTCGTGGCGGCACCGACATCAATCGCCCAATGATGTCCCGACGAATTATCGCGAACACTCGGTCGCATTTCTCGACGAGATGTGAATTATTAAATTACTTAATTATTTATTTATCGCACTGTTATCATTAAATCTCGAAACGATAAACATAATTGTTCTATATTATTTCCAAGTCACGTAGCAATACGAAAATCATTAATAGTTTCCGACAAATATTAAGAATGTATTTCTTTATTTAGATTAAGAATTGAAAGATTTAAATTTGCATTTTTATGCTACAGACTTTAATGTTAATTTTAATATTTTATATTATTTGTAAAAAAATGTGTAGTTAGAAATTGTATAATAACTATTTGTGAAAATCGAAAAAGAGAAATAAAATTTAGATTAATTTCAGATGTAATATCTTTTAATTCTTAATCTAAATACATTAAGAATATATTTAGATTAATTAATAATTAAGTAATAATTAAATTAAATAATTAATCACACCACAAGAGAGCACAAACGCCGCAAAAGATGTTTGTTTGAACTTACTTTGTTTCACTGTAATCAACTCTTAATATATATTTAAATATATTCTCAACTTAATTAATCTAAATATGTTTTTAATATTGATCTAAATGTATTCTTAATCTAAATATATTAAGAATATTTAAATATATTCTCAACTTAATTCATTTAAATATGTTTTTAATATTGATCTAAATGTATTCTTAATCTAAATATATTAAGAATATTTAAATATATTCTCAACTTAATTCATCTAAATATGTTTTTAATATTGATCTAAATGTATTCTAAATGTATTCTTAATCTAAATGTATTAAGAATACATTTAGATCAATATTAGAAACATATTTAGATTAATTAAATTGAGAATATATTTAAATATATATTAAAAGTCACAGTTGGTCACAGTGTAACAAAGTAAGTTGAAACGAACATCTTTTGCGGCGTTTGTGCTCTCTTGGTGCGATACGGCTGCGCCGAAAAGGCGGGGGAGCTCGCTTTATCGCTCGGGCGAGAACTGCGAAGGGCGGTTATTATTAATTGCTTCCAGAGGGTTTTACAACCGGGCGGTTAAAGCCACGGTCTTTTTTACGAGCATCGAACGGGCCGGTTTGGCCTCCCTTTTCCACCACACCGGCACTCTCCATCCACTCTTCTCCCGCTCCCGGACACTCGACCGGAAACTTCATTTACATCGTCAGCATCTATAAAATGGATTAATTGCAGCTGGCCGTGCGACGAGTGCTGGCATGCACAGCCGACGAACGTTCGACAGATGGAATTTATCCGCGAGTGAATCCTCCGCAAAACTGCTTTTTATATTCTCTCCTTTTCAAAATATGTACCTCCGGATCTTGTTTCCAAATATTTCACATTTATTTCTTGTTATTTAAATTATCAAATTTGTATACTTACTTTTAAACTTTTACTTAAACTTTTCAAAAAATTGAAAAATACCAAATTTTATATTTATAGTCTTCCAAAAAATTGATAAAGTGTTAAAAAAATCTAATTATCAGCTAAGGAAAGACATTAATTCCATAAATTAAAATTCCAACAAATTCAAGACATTTAGTCGTAAATTTATGAAGGATACGAAATTTAAAGTCTCAAATATCAACGAATTATCAAATAAAATAAGTTAGGAGATTTTAAAATAAAACTGAAAATTATTTTTACATCTGGAGTTAATCTAAATTTGATTTGTTTTTTTATTTTTACAAATAATTATTATACAATTTCTAACTACAGATTGTGTTTTACAAATAACAAATATTGAAATTAACATTAAAGGTAAAGTCTGTACTATAAAAATGCAAATTTAAATCTTTTTAATGCTAACACAAAAAAAACGATTTTGCTAAAAGGTCGAAAAATTTTGCTGGATATAGATCTGAAAATAATTTTCTTGGTTCATAAAAATTTTGTTAGAAACTCAAAAATGATGAGCACTAGAACGTTTTGATATTCTAGCAATCAGTCTGAACTTTCAACAAAATTATTTTCAGATCTGTATCCAGCAAAATCGTTCTTCCCGTGAATGTGTGAATTAAATCGATATGTTTTTACGGAATAAGATAAAATTTTTCGTCTAATATGAAAAAGAAGAAACATTATTATCGGACATAAGTCAACGAGTTTTAAATGAAACTACGCAGGAAAATGGAAATACAAAAAAGTTGTGGATCATTTAACGAATTAACAATTATAATCTGCGATTAGAATTCCTGACATTAGCATAAGCCCGCGTCAGTGGGGCCGAGAAGTTTCCGGCGGCGTTTGTCCGCCAGTGCCAAAATAACCAGGAGGGAAGGAGTAATTTTATGCGATCGCGCCGGGGAGATTATGAGGGAAAAGTAGCCGACGAAGTAGTTGAAGAATGTTAAGTCAGAGAACCTTATTATCTTACCAAGATAAATCACGAAGGAATTGAAATTCTTGTTTAATCGTAGTAATTACAATGGCGAGCTAAAATTAAAATTAGATACAGCAACGTTTGCTCGATAAATCTTTCTGATACACTTCTTAATTTCTAAGATCTATCTATATCAATCATTAATGAAACAGAACTAAATAAAGAAAGAAAGACATGTATATATATTTAAATAATACAGCTTGTACTATCTGCAAGTTTTAAAATTGTCCGTTTGCGGGTTATATTAAATAGGAATTAATACTGATATTCAATTGATATGACTATAATGCAAAAGAATTATTAAAGAAAAATTAGATTTCAGAAGAAAGAAAACTGATACTGAGCGATTTGATTGATTTCCGTTACAAGAATTAAAGGTATAAAGTTATTTTTAATTAATTTATAATTTCAAGATAAAGAGAAGAATACTTTTTACGTAGTGAATTTATCTCTGTTACCTTTGTACAAAGCAAATATATTTATATGTATAGCAACTATTGCTTAAGATGTCACACAAAAATAAATAAATAAATAAAAAATAATAATAATAATAATAATTAATATTCATAAATTATTTCTGCCATTTTCCATTTCTTCTCGGAGTACGCTGCATATATTAGATTTTATGTACTATTCCTCTGAAATCAATATCACGAACTCTGAGAGTATCAAGTGTTGGCCTTGTATCATCTACTGTAATATAGTCCTGTAGAACTACATAGAGGAATCAATTTTCTTCGATGATAACAGTGTAACGCGCGGTATACTGCCGACTATAGTCAACCGTAGGGAGCATCGATCGTACAAAACGTTGTGAAGATAATGTATCTACTGCTCGGTACGGATTATTGATTCAACTAACGTAGGTCGCATTTTATGTTCCCTGAGACAGATGCCCTTACCTGTACCTATTTCAGAGAGAAAAAGATTTTTATGTAATACACCTTTAAATATAAAAAGAAGGGAGAAAATGTAATTGCCGCAAGGATGGTTGAGCCATAATAATTACTTTGACTTAGCAAATTCACGGATCGGAGCACAATACATTGCAAACACTTTACTTACATTCATAATCTCTGTTTCTTTGCTTTAAAATTGGTTTTAAAAATATATTTCTAAAAATATTTTAGTATGTAATCTACTCGTGATATAAAAATGTAAAAACATACACTATAACTAATTATATATAAACCATAAACGTGGATCCCTTGCACAAAAATAAACATACATAAATAATACTAGACAAGTTTATAGATAAGAAACCAGACATAATTATAAAGATTAATTGATTTATTCATTCATACAATTTTACTTGCATACAATATTGTATTCTCATATAATTAACACTACATAATTAACACTATTGTACAAGATGATCTGAAATTATTAATGACACAATTTAGGACAATTTGGTATTTTGTGGAAAAATTTCAGCAGTTTCATTTTTAAACGGTTGATTTTTATCAAAACAAGCATTAAATTTAATTTTATTTTCGCTAGTTATTTCGTTAAGATTTTTTCCGTCAATTTTTAATATTTTCCCGTTTGTAGATATTTTCAAGTCGTTGAACACGTTATGTAGGTTCACGTAAATTTGATTTTCGTAGCGCATATTCGACTGAATAGAATTTTGCATGGTGATTTTATTTTTCAAAATTCTCAATCGGGGTTGCATTTTGTGATACGCTTTCTCGGCACTCAAACGCCGATCTTTTTCCTTCATAAGAAAATTTGTGCTGGTCTCCAAGTCTCTAATCAAGTTCCGATTGTGCTCGATCATGAGAGACAGATGATTTTTTAATTCGTCCGCGTTGGTCCAGTTGATGTGACTTCTTTTTGCTGCACTGTTCAATCTACATTTCCTACCACCATTTCTTCTTGTCTTTCGTAAACGCCTAGTTTGCTGTGTTTGTAAAATGCAGTCTTTTTGCATTTTTATTGGAGTATCCTAAAGCAGACAGGTCTAGGTATTATATAAGGCGAATATAAATAATATTTTAAAAATCGTGCGATTTTCGATATTAAAAATTTGAGCAACTTACAGTTTCAGTTTTGAGAAATTCGCTCTCTTTCTTTATATGCTGAGAAGATCTGTCCTGTGAAATAGTATCTTGTTTAAGGATATGCTTGTGGCTCAGCAATCTTTTCCTCATCGATATTCTCTCCCCTTTGCTCTTTCTCTTTTTTAAAAACTTGCGAATAATTTGCAGTACGTCGGTCGACACTTCATTATCCCTGAGATCAATCTGCGTGAGCACGCTGTTCGTTTCCAAAAACTCCAATACAATTTCTCCTCCTCGCTGAGTAATTCCGCAACATCGTAGGCACAGCGTCTTCAGCCAAAAGTCATTTTTCAGCATACGTGTCAATTGCCTCAAGCCGATGTCGCCAAACCGGTGATTTCTGTCAAGTATTAGTGCTTGCAATCCTTCCTCCTGAAATACAAAAATTTGTTAAATAATTTACCCGTAAAAACGTGTAAAACGTCTTAATTAAAATAATGCTTTTCCATGCTGAATACACACCATCGTCGTGCTCTTGTCTCGAGATAATATTGACTCCTCCCAAACACTTTGCAACAAGTCTGCTTTTCTCCCTTTGAAGTACAATGACAGACACGTAGCGCTTCTATTAGTGAGGCCGCATGACGACAGATTCAGGACATGAAGACTCGAATTACACTGCAAACTTTCCAGCAATATATAGCATCCTGTAAAACAAGGCATGAGTATAAAAATATCATTTTCATTATTTTCGTTTACATTAGTTTTATTTCGTTTATACGAAATTTGTAAAAAAAAATAGGTAAAAGAAAGAAGTTTTTTTTAAATACAATAGATATGTCTAATTTAAAATACAATAGATGTCTGAAGTTGTTTTTTAAAAATACAATAGATATGTCTGATCTGTATTAGGTGTTTAAAAAATTCGAATTTTCACGAATTTCAACCAACCTGCATCGCCTATTCGACATCTGGCCAACGACAAGCTTCGCAGATTACGATTATTTGCCAAGCCGTCAGCAAGGATCCTCAGATACTTGGGTGCCAGAGGGATATCATCGAGCGTGAGGCTGGTGAGCATCAGCGAGTTCTTCAGGCAGACCGCGACGGAATGAACGAAGCACCGTAGCAGACGATTGGTGTACAAGACCGGGTGCCGTCGATCCTTTCGCGCGCATCTCCTGAACGTGCGAGCAGAATGCCAATCCATTTGCCATTTTGCGATTCGCGAGTTTAATTATCATCGTTTTTTTTTTTGCCATTGTCATATCTTTTAACGCTCCCGTCGAGTGTCCCCTCGTCGCGACGTCACCTGCAAGCTTAAACTTACTGGGAGTAGCATCCGAAAAAAACAAATAATCATGGTATTTAAATTTACTTTTCAAACATCCAAATATTTTCCGCGACACACACACACACACACACACAACGAATATCAGAAATAAAAAATAATTTTCTATACTATAATTACAACATAGAAAGAATTATAATGATTTAAATATTATTTCTAAACAGATAGAGAAATTTTTTAATATGTCTCCGTTCGCGTATTAAAGCTGTTTAGTCTCCATGTTAAAAGAAAACTATTTGCCAAAGCAAGTAAATTTTCAACATATTTTCAATTACCGTAATTTCATAAGTTTTTTCTCAGTGTCTATTTTCTCTCTAATCTTTTTATGGCAACATCGACTAAACACATAAATTTTGGACAGACTTCGATCTTGCATTATGCTGTCCAACAGAGGCGACCAGTCTTTCAAATTTACATTATCGGCACAAAATCGCAGGCAGTTCTTTTGCAAATACATTTGTACCGTGGGCAAAGGTTGCACGTTTTTCTCGCGGCACAGCACCTTCATTAAAGATATGTCTTAAATATAAAGATTTTATTTAAAAAAAAAGTTATAATAATAGGTAATAGGTTATTAAACATAAAAATAATCCATAATCTCTGTTCTGTGTGTTTTGATTCAAATTTATAACAAATTGTTAGAAATCGTCTTAATAATTACTTTATTTTTTGATAAAGTAAATTCTTCATTAATAATATTTGTAAAATATCATTAAAATGGCTAGATTGTAAACTAACGATTTTATATTCAAACAAATTTGAAAATAACAAACCTTGTACGTAAACTCAAATAATTCACTAAAACTTTTTTCTTCGCAATTTTCCATAACATGTAATTTTGCCTAATCGCGAATTTTATTTCCTAAGAACCTATAATTTTCACCGAAACACCGTTTTCAAGGAAGTTCGGAAAGTGACGGATCACGCGTTCTGAAAGCACGAATATAGCGATGTAAAAATATCAAACATTTGAATGCATACTATTAATAGAAGGGAAAATCGAACGATAAATACAATTATTAATTTAATTTTAATAATAAAAATTAGAATTAAAGATATTTATTATCCACACTCCTAAGTAGTGCAATAATAGGTAATATAAGTAAAATAATTAAAATGAGTTTATATATATCGAAATAATTTTTACAAGTAATTATTTTTCTCTCTATGATTATAAGATAATAAGAATCACAAAAAGAAAAATAATTACTCGTAAAAATTATCTCGATTAATAATACGCATACAAAAACGAGAATGAGATAAGTAATATTTAAAAAATATAGAATATCAAGTATAAGAGATCGTAATCAATCATTTTATATCAAAAACTTTAAAAAATCATACATTAAATTGTAAATTTAAAAATGTTAAAGGATAAATCCATATTAGAGAAATATATAGAATATTAATATTGTCGAATATTAATATACACGTAACGATAAAAATTTTTCTTAAAATGCATGACAATATTCACAAGATAAAAAAATGTTGTTACATAGCAGTGAATAATATAATTATAAGATAATAAAAATCAACAGAGAGAAAAATAACTACTTGTAAAAATTATTGATTATCAATTAATAATACGCATACAGAAATGAGAATGAGATAAATAATATTTCAAAAATATAGAATATCAAGTACAGATCGTAATCAATCATTTTATATCAAAAACTTTAAAAAACCATGCATTAAATTGTAAATTTAAAAATGTTAAAGAATAAATCCATATTAGAGAAATATATAGAATATGTCGACTATTAATATACACGTAAAGATAAAAATTTCTTCTTAAAATGCATCGAATATATTCACAAGATAAGAGAATGTTGTCACATAGAAGCAGTGAATAACATATACATGCTACTATAATTGCTATTATACAAAGCAATCGCAATCGTTCTTGCGAATATATCTACTTATGCATCTCAAGCCGCGCGTACAAACTGAGGACTCGCATTAAAGTACAAGGAACATTGCGTTAAAAAACAGCGGATAAGAAGTAAAAACAGACGTACGGACGCACGATAAGCTCTCGTGCGCGGAGATAAAATTACGTCACGGAAATTCTAAAACGGCCCTAAATAGTCGCCTTATGAGAAAAAAACGGCGCTCGTGTTAAGCGATTAAATTTACCGTGATAATTCCCCGACGTCTTGTATTTGCCGCACGCAAATTCCACCCATCCCTACCACCATTGTCTGCCGAGTAGTCGCTGGCTTAAAATCAAAACCGCTTATCGTTCAGACACGCGTGGATCTCTCGTGTGCCGGATCTCCGCGCGCGCGTGTATATGTTTGAACACTACTCGAATATCTGTTGCATCCTTTTGAGCAAAGAGACACACGACACGAGGCGGCTGGATGCGGGCGGCGGGCGATGCGAGAGGAGAACTTTGAACGCGAACGCGAGATACGCAGATTCCAAAAGACGACTCCCCGAGAAATCGCACAATTTAGCCAGTGAGTCTGAGGCCACTGTGCTGCACACCCGATTGTCTCTCTCTCTCTCTCTCTCTCTCTCTCTCTGTCTCTTCATTAAAATCTCGCGCACACCTCGAATGTTTGGCGCCTGATTCGCCTGACAAAGAAGACCCGCGCGCGCGATTCCTAGCAGTTTCTCCTACTGCGAAATCGCCGTCGTCGTCGTCGTCACAATTGTTATGTGACATCGCGAAAGTCATCGACGAGCGAGTTTTCACCTCTGTTCCGTTGCCGTCGTGCCAGCCGTCGAAATACGCTGTTTGAAATATGCCGTGACGCGTCGGGAGTTCGCGCGGAGCCGCGTCTGATCCAAAGTGTTTCCGGTTATCTCTGCTCTCTCGCATCCCGTATATCCAGCCTACGTACTTGAACGCGAGGCAGACGTCAATGAAGAAAAAATCTCTCGCGTACTGCACTGTGCGCGAGTTTAACGAAGCTGCAAAGTTGATCTTAACAGATGTAAGGATCGCCTCTCCTATAGCGCAGAGATCCATTTGGACGACCTATGAAACGGCCTTGTTGTTAAAAAACAACGCGCGTTCGGTAAACGTACGTACATGCTTGTACAAACGTACTGGCCTGTTATCATTGTTTATTTCCGAGGGCAATTAACAGCTTTATTCTTCTTCGAACAATTCGAGTGTACGTTTATTCACCAAATCGATTGTTAAACGTGTGCATATATCTTGTTTGTTATCTTGATGTTTCCGAAACGACACGATTCGCATTCGTTATATTTTAAGTTCAGCAAGAATAGATAATATTTTTGAATAAATCATTTTGTTTGTAATTACATGTAACTTTATTGTGTTGTAAAACGTTAAACAAAACTTGATAATAATTAATATAAAATACTATTGACTTTAATAATTAAATTTAGCAACTTGTGTATATACATCTTATAAATTAGATTTAAAATCAAGAAGTTGTTTGGATTACCTTTTCATTTGAAAAAGTAATTACAAATGTTATCTTTAATATATTTTATATTACTATATAAATTTAATTACAAATGTTATCTTTAATATATTTTATATTACTATATAAATTTAATAATTTTTATTTTTAATAGAATAATAATAGAATATCTTTCTTTTCTCTCCACGCGAGCGATAGAAAAGTTTCAAGATAGCAAAAATTTTTGTCTCAAAATCTCTTCTGTTTCATTAGCTTTAAACTTTAAATGCCTGTGCGCGCGCGCGCCTATCTCGGTATAGGAACTACAGACTTGCATCACTATGAAAACAGTTCCTCCCGGTAATTATGCACACAACACTATTTGCCCGCTTCCATGCCCACACAACGCGTAATCGTACGAATTACGTGAACGGCTATCTCGCGCGCGGAACGCTCTCTAATTGCGCACGCCGAGGATCGTGGCTGCCGAGTGATACAGCTATTTGAGATCGCGTCGCGGAACTTTTGAATTATATGTAGACACTTTCGGCAGCAGATAAGATAAAGCGGACTCGGGGAAAATTGCACGCTGACGTATGACCCCGCCGTGCGCGCGAAATCTTCGCCTCGCGCGATCTTGACGGCGCGCGTTCCAATAATGCCGAGTTAATCGTCAACGCTCGCGGAGTTTTCGCGAAATTTCCTGCACTCGTCTCGGCGCCGAAGCCGTTCCATCTGGCTTTTCGACGAGCGATTAGCAATTTACGTCGCGCTTTGTCGACGTAACGAAACGTTTGTTTAATCCGTTTCGAAAGTGAAAATAGAAACTCCAAGTGATCGGAAAGAAAAATCCCGGTCGACTCGCCGTAGTAAATTTCACCGGCGCGCTTGTCGTTCAATCCGTCGAGTTTAATCCGAGGCGATTTAGCGTATCGTTTCAAAGTGGCTCAGTCCCGGCTTTTTTTTTATTAGCGCAATCCCCTTTACGTACGTTAATTAATGTAAAATAGTGTTCGCGCAATCAATGTTTGGGTTATGCAAAATCAGTGCGCAGAGGACTGTTTCCTTCGGTCCCGAGATAAGCGAATTGATATGGTGCAAGCATGAGCGTGCATTTTTACACACACGCGTGCACGGTAAGCGCACGTTTCGTTTCATTTTCGAATAACGTCGAATTCTCAGCAATCCTATCTTTTCTTTTTTCTCTCCGAATGCAAAAAAGAGGAGGTCCCGCTTCTGCCAATCGGCTTCGATGAAAGGTAACCTAACGACACTTGCCGCGGCTGTCATCGACGATACGGAATCCGGCCGGATGCTTTGCGAAATTAATTCCCGACGATGCGAGAAGCAGCGTGGGGACCCGCCGCGAACTGAGAGCTCGCCTTAAGAATGGGATGCAAGTTCAGCATACTGGAGTACGTGAGAGGCAAAGTCGAGGAGGAGAAGAGCATATCGTCGGGAACTAACAGTTCCCTCGTTACGAGCGGTACGTTGCTCCTTTTCTTCCTTCTTTCTTTGTAATATAGTCTCGCTTTAATCGTTTCGAATTTTTTACCAGGAAACAAATTATTACGTATTCAATATTGAAATTTAAATTCGGAAAATCGGAATTTGCGCAGCGAAAGATGTAGACAGTTTGGAAAGACGTTTATGTAACAATGTAAATAAAAGCTATATACATAATTTTTAGGACTGACATTGTGAAGACAGGCACGATTGACAATCTACGTCGCACTTCGTGCAGCCGTAAATTTAAAAGGCCGTATAGGGTGTCTCGTACTCAATGGTACAACGTTTGTAGGCAGATAGTGTGGACCAAACAGAACAAAAAAGTCCTCTACCATTTTGCGATTTTCGCAATAGTTATCGAGATACTAATCATTTTAAAAAAAGAAAAATTTTATATAATGGCCAAGTTTTTGCTTTACTATGATTGATCATTTTAATAACTTTAAGTCTGTTTTACAAAACTTAAAATTATTTGGAAAGACCATGGCATTGAACTTTTGCTGCATATAATGCTTGAATAATTTAAACGATTTATTAAAAAAAATATTTTTGTGATTTGGAATAAAATATTTTTGTCTCTATGTCTAATCAAATACTTGGCAATTTGTATGATCTCATATTTGTTTTTGGACAACTTTTATTTGTTAAAATAATATTTTTGGTTTAGATAAGATGTACCTAATGTACGATACACTTGTATATACTTGGCGTAAATTTTTTTTTAATAATTAGTATCTCGATAACCATTGCAAAGATCGCAAAATGGTAGAGGACTTTTTTTTAGTTTGATCCACACTACCTGCCCACAAGCTACCATTGAGTACGAGACAGCCTGTGTATTTTTTTGCGATGTCATTTGAAAAACCGGTAGCCAAAAGATTATATTCCATATTATGTAATTATTTAATCTCTTGATCGATAAGTGATACAAAGACATGGTTCAAGCAGTGTGCACTAATTATTTCTTAATGGACGGCACGGTGAAATAAAAATCTACGAACGACGTGGTTGTCCAGTCTGTAAACTGAGCGCTTTTAACGTAAAGCTTAAATGCCTCCTTCCGATTGCGAAATGTAATCAAGTCTGCACGTATTCGGCTCTTGGATACATGTAATATACGGCTGGGGAACGTCAAACGTCGAAGCATAGTAATCTTCTCTCGAAGGTCGAATTCTGGATGGCTACGTGTCTTTGCCTCGTGTTTGCTCAGTACAACCCGTTTACGGCTTTACGAGACGCAACGTTGCACTCCACGAAAATTTATTTTTCAGACGACTATTTCTGTCTTTGCGCTTTGCATTAACTTAAACTGTATATCGAACTGTACATTTTCGATGCTTCAATCGATAGCAAAAATCAGTACTTTTAGACTTTTCAGTGAAAGTGCATTTTAAAACATTATGCTTAAACTCTGCGTTATCGTTAACATTCTCATAATTATTATGTCATAAATTAGACATATATTATATTCGTAATATGACAAAAAATTTCACCCATACATAAATGTAATACAATGATCTGTAATTTTATTAGAGTTTATTATTATTTCAATTAATAATTTAAAACATAACTTGAGATTGTCATAAAATTAGCCATTTATGTATATCTGCTTTATTTCATATACATTGCTTCTTAACAATATTTTTTATATTTTTAACATGTGTTGCCTCAAAGTATTTATATTAAATTATTCTACTTAAAAAATGTTTATAAATTCTTTAATATTTGATAATAATTGTCATTTATTTTAATTTTTTCAAACAACTGGATATATCACGTTGGTCAGGCACATTTACATAATAATAAAAGTTCCGTTTCACTGTAATGGAAGAAAACTAATTATCTAGACGTTTTTACGGTCAAGCGAGATTTTACTGTTGAAATAAATTTCTCATTTCTATTCCTCTGAGACTTTCTAACCGTAATGTCGTTTGACGTTAACAAAAGTTGAACGATCAAATCGAAATCGCATTTTACCGCGCGTCCGTCTGATGGATGCCTTTCATGAAAGAGGCGGGGGAAGGAAGAGCGGGGAAGGTGGACTTCAGGTAACAGTCATTCTCCTTGACCTAGTCTACGGCTGACCACGCCGTGCGTGTGCCGACTCGGAGTCATTGTTCGAGACATGAATTAATCAGACGTACGAAAGGGAGCAGCTTCCAGCGGCGCGTTTCTAGCTTTTCGATTTAGGAGTCCGCGCGACGCAATGCCGAGCCGCGGCCGTAATAATATTTCGTTCTCAAGGATCGACTCTAGGACAAAAGTTGATCGTTCTCCAACGCTCTCAAGGGAACTTTTGTGATTCTTGTATTAATTTATCACCTATATCTGTAATTCTTTAAGTCCAAATCGATCATCTTTCAACAATAATCAGCCCAACTATTCTACAGATTTTTTTTTTCTTTAATTTCGACTCGTTTTTGCCCTTGTACCAACAATATACGACTAAAATTTTATTTCTACCTACATTTTCCTGTATTTGTAATGTATTTCGTGATTGTGAGAGCTATCCACATGATTACTATACTTTCGGATCATTTTTGTCATTAGGTATTTAGTACTTATTTCCAGTAACGACTATCATTTTTTTTTTTGTAACTCTTATGAGAAGGAATTGAGGTTTATTGGGTATTATTTAAATCGCTACAGCCGCGATGTCGTGAGCGAGCATGTGCTGCGGAGATTACGTAAACGAGGCGTTCTGTCCATTCCTTTCTTTACACACACACACACACACACACACACACACACACACACTACTATTATAATGCATATAATAACGTATTTAGATACACAATCAATTCGTACATTAATATTCTAAGTCGGTTGCAAGTACGTTATGTTAATATTTGTACGTAAATGCACGTCAGGTACTTTATCGATCTCGTCTCTACAGAGCTTATTAAGTGTTTAAGACATTAGTTGATTTAGCCACTACTAGCGACAAGTATTTACACGTAGATATTATTTACAGATGCAACAGAGACCGACACGGACCAAGACAGTCTGTTTCTCGCGTCCGACAAGTACCATTATATCGCCGAAGAGGACGTTCAAAAAGTAGCGCAACGTTAGTTAATTATATTGGATTAATTGTTACGTAAAGCTAACTCTATATAGAGCATCAGTATAAGCATCGTTATGATTGCTTACATTTTATACTATCTAAAATTGTAAACGATTCTTATATCAGCATTGACGTTTAATCAGCATTTACGTTAAATGAGCATATTTTCTCTCTCAATCGATTAATTAGATTATTTTCATTAATGTTCATATGAAATCGGTGAACATGATTCTTGTGTAACTTAACTCACTTCGGTATTCTACAATGTTTTTGAACACTCCTATGGACATTTAAGCAAGATACAGGTGGTTTAAATTATCTTATCAGACCTAAGATAGTTGAAAATAATGAATTTATTTAAATGCCCGTTTGTTCTCACCGAAACAGTTGCCACATAATTTAAATATTTAGTAAAATTGCTGTACATTTATTTATTTTCTAGCTAGTAGAATCAACTATTTTATTCTTTTCAACTTATCGCCTCTGCGTGTGCTCTAGTTTTTCATGCATAATAATGATAATTTATAATTTTTCTTTTTTTTTTAATGACGCTTTATTCCTAACTCTCATTTACTTCGGAAAATCTCGTTCCACTTTGTTGAAGCTCAATTTGACGCGATACATATTTCCGTCCGTGTACGTGTTAAATGGACCTGCAGTATCTCTGGTCTCCCCGACAACGCTATCGCGTCGCTCTTCTGGGGCCAGTCACTCTCTCAAGTAGAATTTTAACTTGGTCGATTCGGTACTCTCGGTCAGTCGCTGTCTTTGGGCCGCAAACAGCACATCGTTCGGCGTCGGTATACACGTACCGCCGATTTTCGTCGTCGCGATTTTAATCCGCTCGCGATTTAAACGCCCGCACATAGCGTTTCGGAACAAATTGTACTTGAGTTAATTGTGAAATCTCATGAAACTGACCGTTTCGAGTGCATGTGTTATGTATAAGCGAATTTTGATTTTCAAACATTCTTAAACATATATAAATAATGTGGTGTGAGGAAAATCAAATGTTAGAAGAATGCGCAATAGATTTTTTTTACTTGATATAAATGTATGTAGTGTTAAGAATTTTTTAAATGTAAAAACTATTGGTAATATTTTCTATTTAACAATAATTTGTTACAAAAAATTATAGAAAAAAATTTAGCTAAAAATAGTTTTGATTTTATTTTCGTTTTGTCATAGAAATAAATATATATTATAGATTCAATTTTTTTGTATTAAACTTGAACAAAAATTTCTGAAATACTCCACAAAATGGTAGGATTATTTTTGGACAATCTTGATCTTTGGAACGGAAATAATCTATTGACCGACTTATTTAAATCGAGACAACTGACTCAGCATTTCAGAAATTAATGATTGATAAAATTTCGACGATTATTTGCACCAATTAAGATCACATCATTAATACATAAATCATTTTTGAATATTTCACATCTTTATTTAAATATATACGTTTATAACTATTTTAAAATTAATGTACAATATATTTGTATTTACATTCAATTCTGAAATTTCTCGAATTTTTTATACTATTTAAATTACAAAAACATATTTAATTTTTTGTACTAGTATATAAATTATATAAATTTAACATTTTTATCTATATATCCAAGAATCACAAATATTTTATTATATTCCTATCAAAGTAAAAAGTTTCTAATTTTTATAAACAGAGAAAAACACGTGTATTGCATTGATAAATGTAAAACATTCATAACTACAATATCAATTCATTTGTAGGAAATAATCAATGCTCATATCATATTTTTAATATATTTCTATGTAAAAAATTAATATGTTACTTTTAATGAGAACGTGTGATAAAAAAATATTCCTAATTAATAACACATCTACTGAGATTTAAATAAAGTTAATAATTTCAAAAAATAAGTAATAGTTAATAATTTCAAAAAATGTAAAAACTTGCCTTTATTAGTGCGGATTGCAGTGATTATTTAAAAAAGAAATTCTTTAACGAATGTTTTATGTGAGCAATGACAATGTGTAATAATGTAACGCCGACAGTGTAATGAAAGCGGACGCAAAGAAATATAGTTTCAAACGGCGCGAGATCACGTAGCTCCGCTTAATCTCAATGATCGCAAGGCCGAAAGCATAATTCATATGGCATCGCCGCCGAATGAGTATCTCTTCCCAAGCGAGGACGAAGACAGCTTGGAGGATGAATTATTTCCAGATCATTTATTCGGTGCGTAAATGATCGTGTCCGCGGTCCCTTAAGCTCCGCTTTTTGCGATAAATACATTACGCGCGTGCATATTACGCAATTATTTCATAATAAGTACGTCCTGTAAGTAGAACACTTTCTCAAAAAAAAAAATTGGAGTAACGATCAATCCACCTCGTCAATTAAATCCAATTGACTTTTAATTGCAATAAATTCTACTGCTGACCCATAAACCTCCCCATAAGATACGCGCGATAGAATAGGTGAGAGTACCTACTCTAACGAGCTTCGTTACCATATAATTACTTCCGCATTGACGGCTGAAATGCGTTAATTGATAGATTGAGCGCGGCTAGGAAAACAACATATAGGTATCGATAAACCGATACGCGTGAATAGCGGGTATCAGCTTTATTACACGGAATCAAGCGTGGCTTTAGAGTCGACAGACCTTCAATTACGATGCTATAGACACGCTTAGCAGCTACCTGTTGCTAAGAATTTTCAAAAGGACGCCCGTCCGAGTTTCGAGCTTGATTATAATTGAATATTCAACGGGACTGTTTCAGGTAAGACGGACGCGCTTGACATTGTGGCCGAGAAGGATGAAAAAACACCCTTCGAGGACAATGAGAACGGAGATTACTTGACTATCGTAAGTTATTTCATCATATTATCCAATGATGTAGATGAAAAATTTTTTAAACCATTTTTTCTATTATATATAAAAATTGCTTAATAAGTGGAACATCAGGCAGAAACGGTAATTTATTTATATTATCCTCCAATTTACTATTTCGCAATATTATTATTTACATATTATTCTCTGATCTACTATTTCGTAATATTCGTAATGTTTGCAACATGAGAGACGTTTCTATTAAAACAAATCTTCAAGTTGTAGAATTTATTAAGTTAATTTCTAGTTACATTAATACAATAAACTTCGGATAGTCTCTATACTTGGTTGCGTGATGCAACAAAAGATAAAATATTTCATTGGATTTCTCGAGAAAGCTAAATGTATAGGCCAATATCACATGAAGACGATGCACTTGACGATAGGTGACGCGGCTTGTGACGTAGGCGTGCGTTATCGCGTTTCTATTAATCAGGCCTGCTATCTAGACTCTTGCGCATTCGTAATCAGAGATAAGGATCGCCTAGGCATTGTTCCACTTTGCATTTTTTGAATACAGGCAAAAGGTAGGCCGGTTTTCGATGGTACCGTGTCGATCGTTGCTTTTTTTCTTTTCAATTTTCAGCGTTAATATTTTAATATAGAGAATATTAATTACTTAGCAAAAAAAATTTAATAATAAAAATTCCAGCAAATATGTAATATATTTTTAACATTGTATTCACACAGAAGACTCAAAATTAAATTATATTGAACGACGGAGCATTATATAACGTTTCGCTACAAGTATTTATCTAAACATTCGATCGAAATGTCGATTTTAATTTGTTATATCTTTAATCGAAAAATATATTGTTATCACCTCTCCTTTGCTTCTATATCTCTGGTCTATTATGCTCTGCTCTCTTTTGGCTTTTACGCAAAAGAGATATATATGAGTATCTTTAAAAATTATCAATATTACGCAATATTACTATTCGTATATAAAGTATCAATCGTCAGCAATCGTCCAGATTTTACGAGGAATTTTTAACAAAGAGAAGACAGAAAAATTGAAATTATCCGACGAGAGAAAAGTTCACGAAAAAAAAGCTACGCGGAAGTGTGCGCATAAATAGCTGGAAAAGGGAGAGCCACGCAAGTCCCGCTCGCAGGGAATATTCAATCGTTAAGGGAGCGCAGCGAAAAGAAAAAAAAGAGAGATAAAGAAAAAAGCGGAGAAATAATCTAGCGAAGAGAGAAGAGTGGCCCTCGGCGCGTCAGCCCTCTCCGTTCTCACAGGGCTTCGGCATCGGAGAACCCCGCAATCAAGCCCTCCCTCCCCCTCCCTCACCTTCATCCCCGCGATATGAGCTTCGCGAGGCAGTGATTCTAAATATACGTGCGTTTTTCTGCGTATCGCTGACGCGGCTTTCCACCCGAGACCAACCCTTTCAATAATTCGCGCGACGTTTACCGCAAAGTTTCGCGCGGGGGTGACGACGGGACGTAATGCTCGATCGGCTCGATAGTCATCCGTTTCCCTCCTCGATGGGCAGCCCGATTAAATATGAAAATTGTTCGGACGCGCTTCAACGTCGCGGGCATAAACGCCAGGCTGAATAATTGATTCGCGGCGCGCAATCGCAGTGAAGACGTGCTCTCTCATTTCGCCGCTTCTCCTCGACGAGTCAAGATCGCCGCCGCCGCCGGGAACGGCTATAGAACAGGGTCTATAGACTGTCTATAGACGGTCTCTAGACCGAGGCGCGCGAGCGGTCTGCAGATGGAGAACGATAGTCCCGGACCGGCGGCGAGCCGCTCGCTTAAAGTATGCGGATGTGCGGCACGCGATTGTCTCGCACGTGTTTCGGGCCGTCCGGAAAATGTATCAGGTAAGAGAGGAACGGGTGTTCGCACCGCGCGTGTGAAATCGTCGGGTGAAATCGAAGCGCGACGGGAAGATCGATCGCGCGACGCACTGTTTGTCGCGCGTCAGCTCGGAACCCCTTGTAAATAAGAGGGTAAAGTTGCCCCTCCGCGATAAACTTTCTATTATTTCCCGACGGATGAATAGCAGACTCCCGATCTTCGGCGTGAATCCTCGGCTCGGGTGAGCGGCAGTTATCAAGTTCGTCTGTGCGGCCAGAGCAAGAAGTGTGTCTCTTGTACAAGCGAAAGTTTTTGGAACGTGTTTTCGAGACGAGCGACGATGTCACTCCTTTGTCTTTCTCACTTTCCACTGTTCACTCGTTTCCCCTCCGTTAATTGCGCTGTCTCTCCGTACGTGCTCGTACTTATGTATACTCACTATAGCACGGCACGCGATAGCGCGGTGCCGCAACGAAACGCAATCGTCGGAGTTGTCACGCACGGCAATTAGTCTGATTGAATTATCGGCGGGAGCGTTGTTTCGCGAAAAGTTATGAACGAAGTTTGATACCGTGGACTAAAAGCGAGCACGTTGCGACGCCGAGTTAAACGCTAAACGGGCGAGTTGCCCGTTTGACAATTAACCTGTTGACGGAACGATTCGAATTTTCGCACCGCTTCCGCTATAAAATTTTCGGCTCACCGTCACTGATTCGGTAGTCGTTCTCCTCCGTGGTTTTTCTCCCGATTTTTATTTTCAGTCGGAACGAACGTAGGTAAGATAATTGCAATTGTCACTCCCCGTTTATTCGCCGTTACTTTCACGTTCATAGGAGACGTTGATTAATACCGCGAAGTGACTCGCGACGAATCGATAGCGGCAGGATAACCGCCGCTCTGTTGCAAGGAGCTTTTTTCTCGGTCGCAGAACTTTCTCTACCTGAACGCAGACGAACTTTTCCACCCTTTCTACGGTTTATCTCTCGGCGAGCAATTAAAAAAAAAAAACAAATACGAGACCCACGTATACTCTTCGTCCTAGCGTACAGTTTTCTTTTTTTTTTTCAGCTAGCAGTAGTCTTCTTTCTCGAGGCGCAAAAAGAGATCGAGGATGTAATATTCCGAACTGTGACCGTAAAATGTGTCTGTCTCCCTAATTCCGTATTTCATCGCGACGATATTCACGAGCGATCAGCTATGAATGGCACAAATGGTATCTCTATAGCAAGCCGCCAGTAACTATTTGCTAACGTCGCAAAATTTAATTTATCGCACACGTACGATGCTCGTGATAAATTTTATTCGAAAATGAAACGCAAATTTTACGAAGCGAATTTTATTAGGAATGAATTATAAATTCGATTATTAAGCGCAAAACATTTTTGTAAAATTAATAGAACTGAATTTTTTTTCTCACAATAAAAATGCGTATTACGTCATATTAAGAATATCATCGCTATATATATACATATGTTATTTGAAGTACGATAAAATTTGCAGCGATATCGCTTATTTATAACGCTTTTTCCGCAGGGTAAAGTTTTATGCTTCTTCACAAAATACACTATCATTATAGGAACTGCGGTACGTGGATGCCTTATCGTGGACAGATGATTTCTGCTTCTGATACATCGAGCGATTATATCGATCTCGTTATCTGTTGATCGATAATAATCAGTACCACGATGATCCTCTCATTAAACGTACCGTCCTCTGCGATTCTCACAGTGATTTAATAAAGTCAAATAATAATATAATAAAAGTATGAAATACTTTTTAATTACAAATTACGCTCAGAAAGAAATTATTTTCTAAAAAGTAACTTTAAAGTAAAATATCAATTTCAAAAAATATATAAAAAGAATAAATATCACACGGAATAATTAATATCCAACTGCTACACAATGTGCAGTGTGGTTATCATCTGTGCAGCTGCTATTATGCGTCTACGACACGTGTGTTAAAACGCCATTGAAAAATAGAATAGACGGTTGACCGGTGCTTTATGTGGCGAGACTGACGACAGTAACGTTCACAAGGAAGAGAATCGTGGACGTGATGTAGTTAGCATTTTCAGTGCGAGTGTGCGAGCGTGTGAGACGATGCACTAGAAATAGAGGATAAGATGCAAGAGGATAAATCGACTCCGCAACTGGCGGCATGCAGTAGGGTACGAAATTATCAGATATCAATCATATCGTTTCTGCCAATGACTTTTATGTATTCATAATTGCTTTTCTGAAGGGTGTTGCGAATATTAAATTAACTACTCTCGCGTGTAAGTCGCAAAAATATTCTCTGACGTATCTCTAATGCGCAGTATCTCAAACGCACATACTTATCCTTTAAAACACAGCCAACAACTTGCAGCGGTAACTCATATTCACTTTAAGGTCGATCTTTATCAATTTGAAATGCATGTGAAATGCATAAAATTGCTAACTTCGTTATTATTGTCGGATCGACATACGTAGGTTAGAATAGTAAGGATCTAGCCATTAATTTATCGAAAATGAAGGATCAAGTTACGCCTCGTAAAGTCGTAAAATACGCAGAAGAAGTGGTGTCACCGCGTGAGCGTCGTCGAGCGAAAATGTACAAACTACTTGAATCGATGTACCTAGATAAAGAGGAACCGGTATGTATCCGGCACTGATATCGACGCATTAATATTAAGTCTCCGATTAGATTTGGTTAAATAAAGGCGTTACTCATGGCAAACACGCATAAATTATAAAAAAAAGAAGAGAGCCCGATAAAATCCCCTCTTAATCATTTTATCGCAATTTTACGCACTTTTATTCAGCTTTGCGTATTCACCTCTTTCTTCTGCTTACAGAAGGGACCTCAGGATTTTAGTAATTATTTATTGACAAACACCGTTCCTAGTATCGTAAAAGTAAGTATCGCGCGACGTTCGATTTTTGTTGCGTAAAACTTGCAATGAAATATATGCGACCCTTGGCGCCGCTAGTGCACATTTCCGTTTTCCACTACTTCTGTCAAACTTCTCCACTGCGCAGATATTGTTAGTCTTTAGCCAGGATGACCAGCAAATGGAGATACTCGCCAACACCGCAAGAAGATTGGGATGGTCCGTGTCGTTGGCGAAGGATGCGGAGAAAGCGGTAGAACTTTTTCAAAATCGCGCCCACGAATTAGTGATTATCGATCATAGGGGACACCACGCGGCCGAGGGCGATGCTATTTGTAGGTACGGCGAATCGTTTAAATAAAATCTAATGAATGTGGTATCTCTGTAAAAAAAGATTTTTGCCCAAAATGCGAATTTGTCAAAAAAAATAATTTTAATTTTTTAATTCTTACCATTTTGCCATTTTTTTTTTAATTCTTGCGATATGTGCAATAAATTATTTTCACACACGCGCGTCCACATTTTTTTTACATAACTCTACTTGAATTGTTAAAAATGTTTAATTTCAGAGCGATCAGATCAAGCCCGGTTTTTCACAATTCTGTCATTATAGCGCTCGTGAAGAAATCGTAAGTCGAAATTTTTTAAAATTTAATTTATACTTTTATTTTTATTTTAACGTTTGGATTTTGCGTGTCTTCTAGATACTTCATGCTCGACGAGAAAGACCATATTGTGGCGTTGAACTTGCTAGAGACAGGCTTTACCAGAGTGAGTGCTTATCAAACACAAGATATTCAAACACAAGAATGCTTTGGGAGTGACTGAAAAAAAGATTTATAAAACAAGTTTTCTATTTGGTTCTTTATTTAGTTTTTCGCTTGTGTTTCAGGCACTGATGGAATGTTCGCACGAGGGTATATTAATAAACGAATTAGTAGGGATTTATACTAGCTCATTGTTGCCAAAAACTCAACTAGCAGCAGCGCATGCATTATACCTGGCACTCGACAGGTGTCGCGATATGGTGCATGTGACCAATGATAAGAACATTGTACAGGTATCACGAATACTTGGCATAGGCCATTTCAATATTTTCCATTAAAATGCAGAAAATTATATATTTTATTGCACACATTAAATATGCATTATTTATCATATGTGTTACCCTTTAATTTGTACGTAGACCGTAATTTCACATTGTTTTTAGTTTCTAAATAAAGTCAGCGAAAAATTGTTAGGATATAAAACAGAGGAGATGATGGGAATAAATCTTTCGGAAATAGTGTACTACGAAAACTCCGCTCTCATGGAGCAGCAATTGAGTAAAGGCCGGGAATTCGAAGGGAATATGAATTGCAAGAGGAAAAACAATCAAATGATTACGATCAATTGCAGGATAATTCCGTTCTGTATAACATTAAAGTATGTTTTTTTGATTTATCAATCTTAACAGTTTTTTTTTAAAAGATTTTATTTCCTTTTATAAGGTTTTATTTCGTATAATTTCGATGAAATTTCACGAACGTTTAACATTTTCCAGTTATTAATGAAAGAGCCGTCTCTCTCGATATAGAGTAATATCACGGTTAAAAAATACGCTCTGTTTATTATTTTATAATACTTCTATTATTAAGTTATCGATTATTATATCTGTCTTTAGAAAACCCAGTCACTACATATATGTATACGACACTACGTATCTGTCGGAAAATTCAGCGCCAATAAGTCCAGTTAGCAGCCCGTTGCATCCTCCTCTCAAAACGAGTATATTATCGAACACGCGAAAATCCTCGGATGTCAGATCTGGTATAAGCGAGGGTAAAGTATTTTTACAGATAATCAAATAAATAATATCGCTAATAATAATAATAAACTTGCATCAACGTAATTGGAAGAAGTTACTGATACAAAAATAGTTTCGTCCTCTCAGTTTTTCCATGTGCTTTGATATAAAAATGAACACGTTGAAAGGCGCGAATTAGGTCACCGGCGATTTTATAGTACACTTTGCGGCACGTATTTTTACGTGAAAGAGTTATCGCGCCGATATCAACCCTATACATATCGTTGCTGTAAACACGTCAAAGAATTTAATAGCACAAAACTGGGACGCACCTGTTATATTCTGTCTAATGCGAGAGCTTTATGCATCTATTGTTCTAATTAATCTGCGACGCTTATACACTTTCGAAGGAATTAAAATTATGTATATTATATTATGATCAACATATTATGTGATTTCGATATTACCATAACAATATTAAATTGCAGCTTTAAAAGCTTTAAATGCGTTATATATGATTATACATTACTCTCTTCAATCTGCGTAATTTAATATAATTTAAATTTTAATATACCGATCCCCTTGATACGAGGATTGTATTTCTGTAACAGGCCGTAGACGGTCCAGCTTGCAAAAACTGAACACCTTGCAACTGGAGGCTCCTATCACTAAAGTCATTACATTACTATCGAATGCAGTCACGGATACGACTAATCCGGAAACAGCAGCTCAGATCGATAAAGTACGTGATTTAATCGTGATTGCTCCGTGTCGTCGTATAGTTACGTCTGTCCAGTTAAAATAATTACGTGTTGTGTCCGCTACCATCTTCTGCGTCTTTCACAGGCAATCGATATCCTAAAGACGACGGAGCTCTACGTGCCGCATCTTAAAGAAGACAGGGCGATGTACAGCGACCCAGTTGCCACGGATCTCGTTGGCGCATTGCTTGCCGTAAGAATCTTGCCTTTCACCTCATTTCGCGTGTATATATAGAAGAAAATAATAAACTTGCAACGAATCATGATATAAATCATGACATTTATACGCTCGAAAATTTTTTCTCTCTCCACCGATATTTTTCTTGTCCGTCATTCGATTGACAGTCTCCGCGCACAGCGTGGGAATCAAGAAGATCGTCGTCGGATTCCGCGAGAGTGTCCACCAAGGCTATCAACGGACCGGCCAATTCGCGTGCGCAGGTGAACACTTTTCGGGGGCCGCAAGAAATCACGGAGATACTGGACAAAAGTCTCGACTGGGACTTCGAGATATTTAAGCTTGAAGTGCTGACGGAGAAAAGGTGGGTCAAGCATATGAACTATCGACGCGCATTTTGTGACGATGTGTGTGTCGTATAATAATTTTATAATCTAAGCAGACATCACAATTCCTGCATTTTCACATAAAAGCACGCCTTAACACCTGAATTGTTTGCTTTATCGACTTGTTACAGACCGCTCGTCTTTCTGGGATTGACTATCATGAATTTGTACCAAGTGCCCGCTACGTTACATTGCGATGAGAGGACGCTGCAGAACTGGCTAGCCATTATCGAGCACAATTACAACGAGGAGAACAGCTACCACAACTCGACTCACGCGGCCGATGTCATGCAAGCTACTGCGAGATTTATGCAATCCAAGAGGCTCAAAGAAATTTTAGAGCCCATAGACGAGGTCGCCGTTTTAGTGGCCGCCGCTGCGCACGATATCGATCATCCTGGACGGTCCAGGTGAGACGATCTACTTTCAGATACCGAGAGATAAGTCAAAAGATATTGACAAAAAAACGTGACTAATTATGCTTAAATATTTATATTATATAGATGGAATATATTTTAATTTTAATCTATACAAAACATTCGAAACGAAAAAAAAAACTTCACAGATTTTTCTGTAGATTTAAAGTGAATATTTAATAAAAGTTTAATTGGCACACATTATTTGTCAAAAAAAATTTAACTTGAGATTAAGTACATTAATAACCTGATCTTGAATTTAAATTCCTTTCCAGTCAATTTCTTTGCAACGCCAGCAGTCGTCTGGCAATACTTTATAACGACCTGTCGGTCCTCGAATCGCATCATGCAGCCTTAACATTCAAACTATCTCTGTCGGACGACAGTGTAAATATCTTTAAAGTAAGTTTTTTTTCGTGTTCTCTGTAATGCCAATTGAAAGGTGAGCATGTAGAATAATCCGAAGGTATAATGTCTGCCGGATTGAATGTCTGCTTTAGAATCTGGAGCGAGATGCGTACAAACTGTTACGACAAAATGTCATTGACATGATTCTGGCGACCGAAATGACGAAGCACTTCGAGCATCTGGCGAAGTTCATGAATGTTTGCAGCGCGAGAATTGGCGACGGTCAAGAGGTACCATATATTATTATTTTCACGTTAAACTCGTTAGTTAATTCTGTGTTTCGCATTTAATTTCAATCAATATTAATTTTCTGCTGTAGGTTAAAATTTGTAATATATATATTATCGTGCTTATTATTAATTAATAATTATATTGATTAAATAAACATTCGATAATATAAAAAAATCTAATTACATCTTTTGTGTTTTCACTATATTCTTGTCACACAAACATAAATAATTAAAAATCAATCTTTCAATATTTCGAAAATTATTTTACATTATCCAGGAATTATCTCAGTTTAAAATTTAATTTTAACATAGATGTCTAATAGATGAGATCTTAATTCTATATATTTAAATTTATATAGCTGAAGTCGTAATTCTATATATTTAAATTTATTATATGTATATTTAGACACGTTTAGAGTAATAGAAGAAAATTTAAATTTAGAAAAATCTTTCGCAGACTTATTCAGACTCTCTGGACATGTCTGTGGTACTACAGCCAGATAATGTTATACTGATTAAAAGAATGATGATCAAATGCGCGGACGTATCTAATCCAACGCGGCCGCTGAAATGTTGCGTCGAATGGGCGAGACGAATCGCGAAGGAATACTTTAATCAGGTGAAACATTTTGATAATTATTAACTAGGATCATTCCATCGCGGAGAAGATAATTCTTTCACTACTCCCGCGTTCAAATATTTATTAATTATTTTCAGACCGACGAAGAGAAAAAGCTAAAAATGCCAGTCGTAATGCCGATGTTCGATAGAATGACGTGTTCGATACCGAAATCGCAAATCGGTTTCGTCGATTATATCATTAATGACATGATCGAGGCTTGGGATGGTTCGTTCTTTTCACTACATTAGTTCTTATTAAACTTTGATTAATATTTGAGTTATTATTTTTGCCGTATTTGTTTCGCAGTGTTTATCGACATGCCGGAATTAGTGGGCTACATGCGACACAATTACGAGAAATGGAAAGAATATAATGTAAGACATCAGCTTTTTAATTTGCAATTCAATCGTGTCGATATAATTTACGCGAAACTTCTGTGTAGTTTTATATATAATATTCATTAATTCCTAATAATAATTTCCTAAACGTTGAAGATAAAAAAAACATTGAATATGTAGACATCAATAATCTCGATGTATAATTCTAGCAAATTTGTTCGCGTATTTCAAATATTATGTTTTACAGGAACAAGGTATATCCACTTTACAAGACGTCGAGAAGCTACAACAACATCCCGAGATGCAAATACCGCGATTATAATGAAAAGCGTCTCATTTTCGCATCTCGTTTTACGCCTCGTTATATAATATTTACGCTGCGATTATCGCAAAGACGTGTATAGTATTTATGTATTTAAGGATATATAGCAAAACGCGACCGTCGTTCGCGTTCTTTCGAGTCGTTTCTAAGAAAATACATATGTAATATTTGCCGTTTTTCGCGCGCGCCACACCAGCACTTTCATTATTTATATATAACTCCATCCCCTCTCCCCCCCCCCTCTCCAATGACATTCGCCGTATTATTTGAAAACGTGTGACACATATTAAGTAAGACACTTAGAGTATAAGGAAAGGAAATACCTTTGTTGTATGCAGCTCCGGACGACTATACATGTTTTACTTCGAACAAAGTCTTCCTTGCGTTTGCGCATACATGCTGCTGTGGTCGTTATGTTTGTGAATCTTAAGAACGACAAATAAATTAAGAAACTGCATTTGAAATCTCGTTTTCTGAGACAACCATATACTTAATCCCCTCGCCTAACTCTGCCGTTAAGTTTCCCGATGGTGACCTACCGTTTGGAAGGGGCTTGGTAATAACTCAAGTCGAAAGAAAGTACTCGCACTATATTTATGTGTGTGTCGGATTTCACTTTATTGTTTCTTTCAGCCAAGAAATGGCGCAGGGCCTATTTCTATGCTGCACAAATACAGAGAATTAAATAAAACCAGGTTATACATAAAGTGTAAGCCGTATCCAGATGGAATTTTGCACAGTTTTTGTTCTCTCTTTTTTTTTACCAACAGAGCGTATATATAATTCTCGGTTATGCAAATTACAAATTTTTCTCTTTTTTTTTTGTTTGTTAATACAGAAAAGTACGCACTCGCTTTCTCAATCTACATAAGTCGGCCCTGACATAACGTTGCTGCATCTAAGAAATTAATCATATTACAAAACCAAGGAGGATATGAGTGTAATAACATCAATAGCCCATCGAGTTACAAGTATCAGCCTAAACTTGGATGGTTACTATAAGTCACATTCATCGCAGAGATTCTTACGTATGTTGACAACATATGCTTAACGGTATGCGTTATACATCGCGTAATTACGTCTACGGGATCCGATGGTACGTTTTATCCAGTATCAACGAGACATTTAGCTTGTTATTTTTTTTTTTTGGTCTTATCCTTAGAGACAATCAGAGTATCGAGTGTCGTTTTTAGAGTTTATTATCGAAGTGTAACACACGTAAACACACGGAATATACCTCACGATAATATCTCGGAGTAAAGGTGAAAGGTAAAGAGACGCGGGAGTTCCCCTTTAAGGCGGAGGACTCCCGCTCGGAATAAGCTTATCGATTATAAATGTTACGACATTGTAATATTGTTTTTCAATTCAATGCCGCCAACGCGCGGTTGACGGACATAAAGTAACTTAATTACCCTTACGTTTAGCTTATCGTTATTACTATAATGCCACATAGTATGATTCGTCCGAAGAGCTAGGAATTACGCTTAATGCTAAAATTACTCGCGTCTTTCGTCACCTGCCGCAAGTGCGTCGCCGGATCTAAGAATTTTTGCCCAAGGGCTCTTTCCCTTTGCCAGAGATATGCCCTCTTGATCGAAACAAAAGAAAAAAAATGTCGCTTCTCCGGCTCGAAAAAAAAATCAGGATTCGATAACCGTGTTTGTCTCGAGGTTTCTAAAAACTGTTTCTTTGCTTTTGGTCGATGAGATATTTCGACAATGTGGTGGTTATCGCGCTCAACTTGAACATCACAGTTGTATTGTATCTTCCATTATTTTCGGCTGCGTTGAATTTAAATTTATTCGTCTTGCGGAAATGTGACTATTACCGAAAGTGTCGGTGACGGGCGCAGCGTATTTTTAGACAAAACGTGAGAAACGAGCTATTTCAAGGTTGTTTCATTACAGGCACTTGCCGCGAGCGGACGGAATTCGCGGAGTAACGAAGTAGCTTAGCATACACAACACCTTTTTCCCTAAATATTACTCTTAGCATTATGCATAAGTAGTACACATATACCTAAGCTTTATCTTCTTTTCTTTTTTTTTGGCTGACGTGCACGTCATTTTTCGTTATTGTTTTTTTTATAGACGACCATACCTTTAGACAACCATACCTTTAGATAACAATACCTTTAGATGACCTTCCCCCCCATTAAAGGGGGGGGAGTCGTTATATAAATCAAGCTATGTAATCCGGTGAATCGCCGTCGTTTATCGATTGCGGTGTGCGCATTGCTGCTAAAATTATCCTCGCGCGAAGCGACGCACGCAAAAAAGGAAAAAAAAACTGATCAGACTATCTCTCGTGCGGACGAGAATCGTGCACGCGGCGCGATCGTGTCGCGGCCGAAACATTGAATCGAAAAATCCGAAGAATCTCAAAGGGTGCTGTGACGGCATCGACGGGTTAAGCTACGTCGTTAATTCGTCGCGCGAAGCTATAATAAAACACCGGCGTTAATCATAACTTTCCTTATGTATACACTGAACGAGAAAGAAGCAAATCGAAGGAAACGTATTCTAAGAAAAATGCGTATAATCCAATATCCTAAAATAACACGCGTGTGGGTGTAGCCCGCATTAAGAATGTGCGCTCTTAGCACTCTCCGTATCTCCTAAGAAAAAAAAAAACTTGTGGTAACTCTTGCCCCTCTATACGCTTGTGATTTTTAATTCGCGGCAATTGAAAGAGTGTGTCCACGGCTCATTTGCTACGATTTTCTGGAATAAACCGTCATGTGAATTCTCATCGCGACTGATCGAAGACGCGCGCGCGCTGTTTCTATTTCGGTCGATTTTCTCTATTTCTAGTGGTTTGCTCAGCGAAAGTTGTATACCGAAGTATGGCCGGTGCGAAGAAAAGCTTGCTTCAAGAGAAACGCTTGGTTGAAGTACCGTACGGTGCGATGCAGACGACGGCACGATCAGTTCTTTAAATCGGTTGTAGTGAAAGATGCAACGTCGCGACTACGAGATTACGCGTTCCGATCCGACTTTAGGATTTAGTTTTATTTTTATTTTAACACGACTGTCCGGAGTAAACAACAGGCTGATAAGCAAAGTGCATTAGACCTACTACTAATGCCATTCCGCGATCTCGACGGGGGCAGCGTTCGAACGTCGATGCAAGGGACGGCTCGGTAACAGAGCGATGATGCTTGCTAGGATAAGTCGAATTTCACGAACAAGTTCGAGTCTGAATTTTTTTTTACACACAACACCGTTCGTTATCAGGCGCCCCAAATTCGGTTCGGTGACGCCTCGTCATCGCGGGATGACGAACGAATTTCGATTCGTAATGATCGTGGTTTCACGAAGTAGTTTCGAGAATGTTCGAGATCGCCGCCGCCGCGAGAAAGAACGGCGGAAGTCGATCTCCGCCAAAGATCTCTCTCTCTCTTGTATTTCGATGTATTCTTGGACAGGACAGTCAGTGGAAGCGTCACGTGATCGTTGTAGGAGAGAGAGCACCTCCTACGCGTCGCGGCTATTTAAAATGGGATCCGCGAACTCGCGCCGAATCATAAGTCGACTCGGGCGATACCCGGAATCGTTTGGTGATCTTGGGAGTACAATCTCGGTCGGATCTTCACGTTCCACCTGCAAAGTACGGTAGCACGATATTCCCGATATATTTGTTGTGTCTCCTTTGAGAGTGTGCGTATCGCACCCCACCGGGGTGTTTTCCCCCGGTGTTTACCATCCCCCGTTCTCATCTGACTGACTCACTAATTTTAGCTTAATTCGAGAGCTTAGCGGTTTTAAGGAGGATTGTGGTGTATCGATAATCTTAGGATTATCTTAAGAGTAAACCTTAAGAGTGTAACCTTAAGACTTAAGAGTAACCTTACGCGCTATTTGTCTTGTTCGTGTTTTCTTTTTTAGATCAGAAGTAAGCTTATATCAGTACGTTTTGTGCGGAATAATCTTAAGCTAAACGGTCCTTATGTCCTCGCACCACCCACCCGCCCAACTACCGTATATATCGCGAGAGCGGTCCTGTCGGTTGGAAAAAGACGCGCGTATCCTTAATTATGGAAGAAGGGAAGAGTGAGGAATTTTACCGCGAGTCACCTGCGCGATGCTTTTTTTTTTTTGCGGATCTTATAAGTCGTTCGGTATTGCGTCGTTCGATATAAATCGCGCGCGCGGGCGCGCGCGCGTGTGTTATTTCGGACGCGTGTATTGAGGTACAAGGCTTAGCAGTTGCGGAGGGCGTGTGACTCTAAACTAGTCCCTGCGCTGTGCCTGATGATTGAATCGTTATCGTTGTTCCGTCACCTAAGCTGGTCGATACACATTTTCCGTCGGCCCCGAGGATTGAGCTGCGCTCTTGCTTGAAATCTGCTCCTCCCCTCCCATTGCGTGATCTTACGCGAACGGACTAGCGCTTTCTCGCGGTTCCGCGCTGCCGCTTAAACCTACGGACTAGCCTAAACTTTGTTTGAATTAGACGAGTTCTCTCTTTTGTATCTGTCACGAAATCGATTATACGAACTAATAGTACTCCCTTCGCCGGAGAATATCCACCCTCGCGCGCGCGTCTACTTCGCGTTGCTCGCGTACAATTTCGCGGGAATGATTACAAAGCCGAGTGATGTTATTTACCGAGATGTCATCTTCGAGTCTGCTTACAAGCGAAGTTTCTCTATCGTCGCGCGAGGGAAAATTATTATGGTTGCAAATTATCGCCGAAGGTCCCTCTACGTTGCGTGATGTTGCGAGACGCGTCAAGATTTAGTCTTTGTCTTTTTTTCTTTTATATACAGATTTATTCAGTTCGTCGAAGGGAAGAATTCCAGTGAGAGTGAAAAAGGGCTTCTCGCGTGTGTTAGACTTTTTAACGAAGGGAGGGCTTAATCCGCACGTGTCGAATTTTTAAACGGACTCGATTAAACGGCGCTCTGACGTTCCCCTAAAAGCTATCGATTAACCGTAACCAACGTAGCGTAGCCTAGATTAAATTTAGTAACGACGTGGTGACGAGTCGAGAAGATTGTGCGAGTCGGACTCGCTTATTGTTATAAGGAGCCTTTTATTATTACTTTTATTATTAAATTTATTAAATGCGTATCTTCGTCAGCGTCGCGCAAAACTCATCCACTCCGGAATGGATGACCCGGTATGATTTCGGTTTATAAGTCTTTTTTTAACTGCGATGTACTTTTCGGCCGTCGTGTGTAGGATCGCGCGGTTAAGTTCTTTGTTTCTTTTACCCTAGAATCGTGTGTGCCAGGTATGTGTGTGCTCGTACGTTAACTATAGTATTTCCGAGAGTAATTCCGAAATTGTATACGCTAATAATTGTATGCTTAACGATAATCCTTAAATATACCGTTCGATCAGTAATACTAAGAGTGAGAAGGAGTTAGCCTTCGTGCAGCCTAGCTTAAAACTTATACGTTAACGTATATTATTTCTGTTCGGTTTGCTATTTTATAACCGCATGCTTTCACTCTTATTTCGGGTTTTCATTCACTCATGCGTTTCTCGCTCGCGGACCGCTCTACTTCCTTTCTCTTTGAGTCTCTTCTTTTTTTTTTTTTGGATTTTTTGTTTGTTTTTTTTTGTTTTTAAACGGAAAGTGGTCCGTACCGATTACCGCGCTGTCGATGTTCGCAGATGTCAATTGTGCCGCTCGTTTTCCGAAATTGGTGGGACGACTTCGACCGTCCCGTCTCGCGGCTCTTGGACCAGCACTTCGGCATCGGTCTCCACCGTGATGATCTGTTATCATCCCTTTCCGGTCTCGGCTTCGATCGGCCGGCCCCACGCTTCGGGAATCGGTACTATCGACCGTGGGGGAACGTGACGCGTCAAAACTCGAGCGGGACCAGCACGATCCAGTTGGAAAATGACAATTTCCAGGTTGGTATTTGTAGATCGGACTTTTACAGTCGCGCGGTGCGAAAGTGAATTTGCGAATCTTTCTTTTCGCTTTCTGCGGATCTCTATGAATTTTGAATTGAGTTCAAACATGTGGGTCTTTGCGAATAAGATAATTTTTGATCTGTGACTATATGTCGTCTGCATATATGTATTTATAGGATTGAAATGTTGAAAAACTTCAAGTTTCTATTTCAATTTCTTTGCGGACATTTCAATGGATTTTTCAAAGTAATTTTAGTTGCAGATTGAGACGTTATTAGAAATTCATATCCAAATGTCTGTAGTCTGAAAAAACTTCTCGTAAACTCGCTTTATTTTTTCTATTTCAAAATATGCGATTTTATTGAAACGAAAATTGCCAAACTGTATTTTGCTTTCAAAAAACTAATTGTAATCTCACTTTATTTTTTCTATTTCAAAATATGCAGTTTTATTGAAAAAAAAAAAAAAATTGCCAAACTATTTTCGCTTTCTTTGATATCTGAACTAGTTTTGGAATTTATCTCTATGCTTGTTATTGTTCCCGTTCGTCAGGCTAGAACTAGAAATTTATTCAATTTATTGCGTCGACAGATCGTGAGGTAGAAATATGTTGTACGGAATCTTAGATCAGGTGGCCAGAAATTACATGTCCCTTTTTTTCGCGATCGTGCTCGTCCATGTTACGTGACGTTACATCATGAAAGTGATCCTTTGTAATTTTATCACCAAACGATTCATCTTTTCGTAGCAAAACACGAAAAGATAGTCTTAAATTATAAGCCTTACGTTACAAGAATGATTTTGCTTTTATCAAAATTTGATTGCCAGTATTATACATAACTTATGTCGTTATTTTTAGTTATTTTTAGCTTTGATATCTCGTTTATTCTCTTACGATACGTAATCATTTAATCATGCACGGTTTAATCAAGTTAGTCAAGTTGCGCGCTAGTCTTGCGATCAGACGGACTTGTGAAAGTGCTCGAAGCATCTTCTTGTGTCGAAATAAGTTCTATTCTGTAAACTATATAACTCACGTAATCTATCTCGTGTATTTTAATTATCGTGAGAAGTTGACTGACAGAATTTTGGTCAAATCTTTTTTCGTAGAGTCGTTAATGATATAGCGTTTTCGTCGGGGGAAAAAGTGTTAAAAGCTTACTTAAGATATATATTATAGGGCGGAAGTACTGCTGTGTGAACGGTCCAATTTTCCGTCTTTCGCAGGATCCCGCCGATTATATATATAGCTAGCGGGATCCTCCGAAAGACAGAAATTGGCCGAAAACTATTCGGAACTAATAGAAGTTCAGAAAAGATTTAATTGTCTCTCGCTTTCTTACGTAATAATCGATTCAATAATAATAATCGACAACACAAATGGACGACAAGACCGTTATCACTTCTCGATTGATCTGCAATTCAAATCTCACCGCCTATATAATTTCACCTCGGAAGAATACTCGTTATACTAAATTGCTTATTAAATTTTCGCTCTTTACAAGCCTTTTTGGAAGAAGCTCCGCTCTATCGCGTAATCTCGAAACGGCGTAGACAAAAGAAAAACTATTCGTGGTACTTTTCCCTGTGCGGATGTGCGTTCGTCCGGTCTGATTTGATATGGCAAGAAAGCGTAAACAAGAAGCAACGCGCGTTAAAATTATACCACGGAGTGTGTCCCGAACGCGAGTGTGATGCAACGAGTTATTTTCGGAACGGTTTTCTTGGTCGTTGGAACTGGCCGCGGACTGGACAGGCTTCTTTCTGTACTTTCACAGATTTTTACGGAGAAAATTCTACGACCGATTAGCCGTCGCGTTTCCGGAAATGATCAGCGGTCAATACGGCCTGTGTGCACACGGATGCAGAATAGATCGGGGGAAGAAAAAAAAAGTCTACGCGGTACTCGCGATTCGGGATGATATGCACGCGATTAATGCTTAAGGATTAACACGCGCTGCGGAATATACCGATTATCTTACGCTGCAGTTATATCCTAAAACGTACACAAGTATTAGACAAGTCGAGAATCAAGAATCAATCGAATGCCCTGCTGTCGTATCCGAGCATGAATTTTAGATTCGATTGTTATTAGAATCAATGTACGGAAAGTGTCTCTCTCATTTTCTTTCCCCTTTCTCGCCGAAGGGTTCGAAACGCGAATGAAGGGCGCGGTTGTCCCTTTTCGTATAGACGTCGTTGGATCCTTGACCTTTCGTTTGATTTCGCACTGGATAAAACGTCCGCGAGGCCGCCGCTTCCCGATCCCCAGAAGGAGAATCGTTCAGCGCTTATCGCGCCTCGGATCTCTTAGCGTAACTTAGTAACTCGACAGTAATATCGATTAAATTTACATTCGGTTTGCAACCAGAGTGTCGCCGCGTGTTGCCTAATAGATTCAAATTTTATGTAAGCAAGCTGCAGATACGTATTGCGTCGTGAGAGCGTGTCGCGACACGCCTGAAGTTCACTGATTGTGAGTTCGTATAAAGCGATCGGTGTTTACGCCGTAATCGGAATTTATCTTATCTCTCACTCTCTCTCTTTGTGTGTGGAAGTTGCGGTGATACGATCGCGAGTGGAATATAACTGGTTTACTGTGCGCGACAACAACTTAATCGCGGTTTTGAAGCGACGGTCTTTTTTTTTCTTCTCTCTTTTCTGTTATTTCTTTTTTGTTCTCTTTTAGTCGGCTGTTTACGTCGAATACAAATATATGCAACTTGCCTAAGAAGCTCGTAAACTCACGAATTCGCACGTCTACGGCTCATCGAAAATTACACTCGCAAATTTCGCCGCGTGGATGTAACGCGACTCGCCTGACAGTTCTAAATTTATATGAATTCGAGATTCGCTCTGCCGCAAAAATATGTGCGCTACAATTACAATTTATTTCCTCGCGAGAGGTTTTCGTCGTGATGCAACAGAACGGAATGTGTTTCGATTACGCGTGATAATACAACTTAGGGACTAAGACACGACTTAAACTCTTTAGCGGTTATTTGTATACACAAAAAAAATTCTTTACTCCCTTATTTTTGGTATTTGTAGCTCGAGCGCGATTTGTATCGGACGCAATACAACAAAATTTTGTGTCGAATACAAAGAGCCTCGAATGATATATCCTACGAAACAAAAGTACAATAATAAGTGTATTTAGGGGAAGATACTTTCTTTTTACGTTGTCTTCTAGCGAAAAAAAAAAACGAGTAGCAAATTTCAGATTTCCAAATATAGAAAAGTCGCGGGGGATAAATGACTGAAGGTGACGTGAGAGGGAAGGACGAAAGGGCGCATTCGTAAGAAGGAAAATAAAAAGGGCTGGAAGGGGGGAGGGAGGGAAGGGGACGGAAGGAGGGGAGGGAAGGGAAGGGAAGAAAAAGGCGTTAACGGAAGAGATCGAAATGTAGGCTAATCTACTCTCTTGAATCGAACGCGGACTCGAACGTTACTTTCAAAGGGGACCGAATCAACCGTTAAGGATGAAAGAAAAAGAAAGCCCCGGCAGGGGGATTGGAAACCGAGTGTATAAGGGACGGGGTGAAAAACTCAACGCTCGGCGGTAAGGGTCGCTAAAAGCAACGAACGAAAAGGATCCCAATACAAAACAAGTGGAACACCAGAAGGCCCGAGAAACTGATGGCTGCATCTGCTGTGCGGCTACCGCTGTCTCTAATCGTCATGCACGCATACAATTTTACGCGTTGTATATAAATCTTATTACGCTTTCGTAATCGCGCGATCGCGAAGTCCGACCGGGAGGACGTGCGGCAGCTCGACTTTTTCGAATCGGGTCCGGGGATGGTGAAACGAGTGCTCGATCGGGACTATTTTCGGGGGGGGGATGGTAGGGGGTGTTGTTTTTTTTTCGCACCCTCCCTCCTCTCGAGGAGAGAGGGCGAATAAATTCGGAACGGAGGGACGACTTTTCCTTCTTATTTTTTTTTCTTTTTGCGAATAAGCTATTTTTGTCTTTTCTTTCTCTTTTTTGCTTTTCTCTTCCCCACGAAGGTTCAAATAATCTGAATCGCCCTTCAAGAAAACATTCACGGCGCGTTTATTCGTCCTCTTTTACAATGATCTTTTTTTCTGTTTGTGCCAAAAAGAATCTAGCTTCACCTACAGGTTTAGTTTCAGTTAATCGTTCTATTCAAATTTAAATCCTTGGTTAAAAAACCGGGGCAAATCCTGTATTGTTACTATTTTTATCGTTTATTAGCAGGTTCCATTCTATTCCCTCTAGTTTTCCTTCTCATTTGCCGAGAGTCCTCTACGAGAGATATGTGCATTACAAAAGAAGGACGATCGCGCTCCATAAAAGTCTCCGGTTATAGTCACGCCAGAGTTTCGGAATCTCTATGAAATCACAGTTTTACCACAGTTCTCGTTTTACCTCCCCCTTCTTTAATCTTATTGTACATAGGTGTGTGTACGTGTGTTTGTGTATGTGTATGTTTTCTCTTTTGTTATTTTCACTCTTCCTTCTCTTTCCGCGATATTTTTTCCTCGCGCAGATCGCGCGCGCAAACAGTTTGCCTGCCGCAGGTCCGAGGTGACTATTTAAATTCTCGTTCGTGACGTCTTGACTTCGTTTTATTTTTTTTTCCTTCGTTCAGAGTCGCACGCGAGAAATCGCGCGCAGCAGCCACGGAATAAAATATGCAACCGAAAGAGTGGATTCGTATCGCGCCGCGCGCATTTAGTCAGTCTTGTTCGTGTCGGAAGAACCGAGACGCCGTGTCGCGTCCCGCACGCGAACCGACAGCCGTCGACGCACCCCCCGACTCGAATTTAACTCGAAGGGCCCGTCGCTGCTCGCGCGGACGGGACCCGCGCCGGGCCCCGATTCCCCCCTCCGTTTATAATCTCTATACAAAAATAAATGCTTCTTCTTTTTTTTTCTGAATACCCACAACAATGTAGAATCGTACAAAAGTGACTTTTGTGCTCTATTTACCTTCTCTTTACACGGAACTATCTGTATCGTCTTCGCTTTAGTCTCTTTTTATTATTTGTACAAAATATGTGTCGCTCTGCGCGCAGCACTCGAGCCGACCGCTCGCGGAGCGCGGTCGCTCCGCGAACCTCTTTCTCCTTCTCTTTCTCCTTTTTTTTTCTTTTGGTACTATTTCTCAAAATGCACAGCCAAAAAATCCTCCGCTAATCTCTTCGCGCTCGCGCTTTCTCGCCGAGCTCCAGGATCACGCAGGATCACCCGGATAGGCTTTAAAGGCGCTTGCCTCACTACCGATCGGTTGTTAAAAGCTTCCTCGTTCTATGTCAGAAATGTAACTCATTTTCTCTTTCGCTCTCTCTATTTCTCTCTCGCTTTTTTTATTTTTTTTTGTTTTTTTAAATTTTTGTTTTTTGTGGTCTCCAATTTTTTTCTTCCTCGCCGAAGCGAGGCGCCGGCCGCAAAGGGACCAGCCACCGCGATCGCGACCGATCGCTCCCTGCACGACCGCGCGCTCGCTTGCAAAAACGAAGAAGAATCACCTACTTGTATGTATGCTCGTTTTTTTTGATCGTAAAAAAAAAAAGGAACAATCTCACACAAGTAGGTGCGCCCGACAACTACATCTTCCCGATTTGTTTTTGTACCATAACGCGCGATAATCTAGAAAAAATCGCGGAGGATTACATATGTAAGAGAGAGAGAGAAAATCGAGAGACGAGAACAAAAAAATTGGTAATTTTACGACTTGCGCTTTGTCTGACGGGTCGGGATAGGATTTAGAGCGTTGGCCGAATTGTCACATTTTATTTTTTATTTTTTTTTTTTCTCGTCGCGGAGACTCCAACAACTTGAGAGGCCCGCGGTGGGCACCCTTGAGCGCGGAGGCGCGTGAACGGACGAAAGTGAGATCGAATGAAGCGCTGCTGCTCCAGACGGTAAAGCCGAAACTGTTGTTATGCGTGGAGATGGCTCGCCTAACGCGTTTTACGGTGTTTTTGTTTTCAGAGTGCGGATTTAGAGAATTACATTTATGCGCTAGAGAATGACGCACACGGCGAAACGCTCGAGATCCTCTTCCGGGAGAACGAAAAATTCAAGGTTAAAAGCCAGAGCAAGGAAACGAAAAACTGACAAGCGAAACGAAAGGAAACGCTAATCCGCGCGATGCGAGAAAAGAAAGTGGGCGGGGTTGTTACTTATTGCTCAAAAATCGACCATTATTTTTTCGGTGTTAAATCTCTCTCGTATATATACCGGGGAGTGATCGATACTTAACTTTCGCTTTCACGAATGCATGGCGGGCTGTTTTTTACACACGATCGCTCACGGAAGAGATGCGAGACTTCCTGTCCTCCGGACGGCGGAGAGAGAGGAGATATACCGAGCTGCAGACTGTTGTAACTCAACAAGCTCTCCCGGGGCCTCCCTCTGCGGGAGGGGGCGGGGGGGCCCGCGCTTTCTGATCAGCAGGTGATACTCGACGTGCAACAATTCTCACCGGACGAGATCGCGGTGAAGACGATCGACAATCAAGTCGTCGTTGAGGCCAAGCACGAGGAGAAGCAGGACGAGCACGGCTACATCAGCAGGCACTTCGTACGCAGATACGTCCTGCCCCCGTCTCACGACCTGGTCAACATCACCTCGACCCTCTCCTCGGATGGTGTGCTAACTATCACGGCGCCCAAGAAGGTACGCTCGACCGAGCCGAGACAATCCGCGTCAACATCCGCCCCGCTTCTTCATTCGCGGATTCGACCGCGAACGAACGGAGCCCCTCTCTCTCTCTCTCACTCTCTCTCCCTCTGTCCCCTCCTCCTCTCGCTCTTTCTCCCCCTATCTCGTCTTTGTTATTAACTGGTGCGGCTTACGTTACATATTTGACTTTTTGCTTTTCTCGATCCCGACGTTCCCACTGCTGCGCCTCAGTGTGCAGTACTAGAGGCAGAGATGGTGCCGAGACGGTTTTGGATCTCAAACACTACGAGTCTGCTCTAAACTACAAAAACAGAACATGTCTCGTTATACGTTGCGAAATTCAAGACGCGCGGCTTTTTGTGCGTGGACGAGACACATGTTCGCGGATATCGTTTAAGTCGTTTAAGATCAGCGTGCGTCGATTTTAAAGGAAGTTTCCTGAAACTCGGCGATACTATGCAAAAGCGAATGACAAGCTGTCAGTGTGCTCTCATTACGACTACTTGGTAGTCAACGTCTTCCAGATTTAAAAATTAGCAATTGCATTTTCGGGGAGTTTCAAAAATCGGATTCTGTTAAAATCGATGACATTTTTTCAGCCGACAGTCGAGTGTCCCTCATCAGACATGACTTATTTTTATTTATATATTACGTAATCATCTATTATGTAATTTATCGATTTATCAATATTGATCGATTTGTCACTATTGATAAAACTCATTCATTTTTTTTTTTTTACTTATTTATATCGTTTTTCTTTTTTTTTTAGACGCAGAAAGCATAAAAATAAATTTGATTGCAAATATATTCAAATTATTTTGAACTTTATATAAATTTTATTTAAACTTATAATTCTTTCGCAATGATTCTAACGTATTGGAAAGTTAATTTTATCGAGGCAAAGGCTCTCTCTTTCACTGTCGGCGTAACAATAGTCCAAGGTCGCACTTGCTTACATGCCTCGCACGTTAACCATCGTATTTTTAACTCTTTCAATTCATCGTCCACAGACAATAGTCCTAATTAACTTAACGCATAGTAAATATTATCGTGTCTAAACACTTCGTGCGCTTACCTATATCTCGAAGTATACTCTTCTCATATTTGTTCAAAGCGTGAAGGAATTTCAAATTCTAATCACGGCTGTTATCGTCGCGTACGGATTGTTCAAGCACCGACCCCGTAGGGTGCACTAAAAAAAAGACACAAACACATAGCTGTCATAATTCATTTGTCGTGGATGACGGGTATGCTTATATATTTCTGTGTTTCACGAAATGTTTTCAGAACGTGACGCCGGCTGGCACGGAAAGAGTCATCAGCGTCGTTCGAACGGGAGTACCAGCTGCCAAGCCGGTTCCCGTCGAAACAACTGCTACTGGTACTACTGCTACAACTACGACCACCACTACCATCGACTAAAGAATTTAATTGTCCGAAACATTCATTCCGACGTTCACTTCATTCTTTTACTTTCTCGATTCTAATTTACAGCAATATGATATTGTAAAATATGACAGAATCGTGACACTTCTAATAATTCTCCAATATTTATTTCACGAAGGTATAATAAATTGTTAGTGCATAATATAAATATATTTTGTTACGTCGTATGAATTATTATATTCTACAACTGCGTAAAGTTCTCATGCTAGTTTCCAATTTATTTTATGTGAATTAACTTTAGTACTTCAGTTTAATTGATTTTCTCTCTTTGTTTTTTTCCGATTAAAATCAGACAGATGTAACTAATAGATCTCTGACAATGAGAGACAAAACAGTTAAACATCATTTAAAAATCACCTTAACGAGAGAAGCCAGATCTAATAGAAAATAATATAATTTATATGTGTGTATAACTGGAATTTAGCGATTGTCAATTAAAAAGAAGAAATACCAGAGCGTTAAGCGTCACATTAAAACTTGTCCGCTCATCTTCCTTGGTATTACTACTTTCCAATTGCATTATCAATACAGCAAATAAATTATTTTCCTTAAAAAATCTCAAAATCATCTCGAAATATTGACTTCAATCGGGACCTAAATCACATCCTCAACTATTTTTATTACGATAAAAACTACTGTGATAAAATTTAATGCACCAAATCCAATTATAAGTCAATATGATCTTGCACTATCAATGCAGCAAATAAATTATTTTCCTAAAAAAGTCTCAAAACCATATCGAAGTATCGACTTCAACCTGACCTCAGTCACATCCTCAACTATTTTTATTACGATAAAAGCTACTGTGATAAAATTTGATGCACCAAATCCAATTATATAAATCAACGGGATCGAATGATCGCGTTTGGAGTTTTGCGAAATAAAAAAAAAAACAGAAAACCCGAAAATCGGGGGAATACCTACGGTAAACTGTCGCGCTCCGCACCTGGTGCCCGCTCGCCTACATTTTCCCGTGCCGGCGGTCTCGACGAAGTTAAGAAGCCGAAGTGTGTTACACTGATGGTGAAGGGTGAAGGGGGGTCTTCGGGTGTTCGCAGCGTCCGAACTGAACCAGGGTTTGTTTACGAATGCGCCGCGGCTGGCCGGCCGGCCGCTTTATATAGGCGCGCGCCGCCGCCGCCGCCGTCGCGTCGCCGCGACGGAAGAAGCTTCGAGATGCTCAGCGCCGCGACCGCGCGTCCCCGCGACGACGTCACGTAAATGCGCAATACCCGCGAACGACGGTTTCGGGGCCGCGGCGCCGTCCGGCCGGGCCCGGGACCACGACGATCGGCATCGCCGCGACGAGATCTGTCGATCGGTGCGTCGATCGATGCGTTTTTTCCACGGCATAATCGAGAAATCAGCGAACGCCAGAGTATTGATCCGGTTCCCCGGCCGGCAGGGACGACGGGATTTCTGGCACGTTCGCTCAGCTCCGCGGTCGGAGAGGCCCCACCATATCGCCCATCCCACATGCACGCGCACATACAGAAGAACGCCGCCGGTTCTTTCCCCCCCCCCTTTCCGCCCCCCCGTCACCCCCGCTGCCATTAACACGGTCAACCGGTGTGTGATATAATGCCGCTCGTATAACGTGGCGTAGCAGCCTTCTCAACGGAACGCCGCCCGCTGCGTATGGCATTGTGTGCGTGTTGTCGATTTGTTTCTCTCGACGGAAGAGAACCTGCGGGAGGACCGGATAAAAATAAAAAAAGAAAAATCGATCACGGGTAGCCTACTGCGTAGCAGAGTTCGCTACGCGAAGGACCTACTTCGCAGGAGCGAGTCAGCCTTGGCCCCCGCCGCCGCCGCCTCCTCGTGCCTGTCCGAATTGCTATTGCTCCGGAAGGAAATTACGTTCGCACAGGACTGATTGATTTTACGCTGACCGGAGCAGGAGTCGTCCCGACGAAACTCGCGCTCCGTTGCGTAATGCGACAACGAGAGGCTTCTGTTATCGCCAGCGAACGGAGACCACCCGGCCGGTTATCGACGGATTAGGCGATTGTTTTTCGAGAATATTTTTGTAAACACGAAATATACACTAACGCGGAGCTGGGAGGGGGGGGGGGGGGGGGACGCCGCACGCCGGTCGTGATCCAACATTGCGAAATCGCGTGCGTGCCGCCACGCCGAAACGTTGAAACGCAGTTTCCTATACACGGTCGGGCGAGCGAGCGTTCGCGTGGTGGGATTTCCGTACTGCGCAGGCAGCTCGGGGTGACCTTGCGGCCCGCTCCGACGTAGTTTTTTTCCTCTCTTTCTTTTTTTTTTTTTTTATCAACTCTTGAGGAGAACGACAGCTATTTTTACGAGATTTCGAGGAGCGGCCGCGCGCGCGCGGGGATACCCGGAGGAGCGGTCGTAGCCGGCCGGCCGGCCGGCCGGCGAAGCGCGCGATAGACGCGTGTGTTTGCAAACACACACGGGATCGGGTGCCGGGATGTTGACTCACGCATGGTACGGGCGCGCGATAGCGTGAGAATGAGCAATTTCGATGTAAACGCGAGATTGTCGCGCCCGCTCGGAGACGCAAACATTACGCAACATGTGTATACCGCCAAGTTCGGCGTCGGTCGGATGTGGGTCGCGGGGACGATCTTTCGCGCTCGGAGATCGCGTAATCGCGGCGAGAGGAAAAAGGGAAAAAAGTAGAAAGAGAGAGACAGAGAGAGAAGATAAATGAAGCGCTTCGCGATCGAGAGACGCGCACCGGCAGCGGGCTTCGACAACACCGCGACGACGCGATTCGACCGTGGCGTGGCGGGCAACGACGCATAATAGCGGCGTTACAACCGGGTTGCATAATATTACGTTCGCTCTCCTCTCTCTCTCTCTCTCTCTCTCCTCTCTCCCTCTCGACGTGTATCATGTACCGCTCTATCGATTTCCTTTTCATATTGCCTCGTTAGCCCGGCCCGAAAACGGCCTCCGACAAAGGCCCTCGGGCTCCTTTCTAAGTAGATGCAATTAATGCAATTTTATTCAGCGATACATAGAGAGAGGGTCGTGCGCGCACGCCACAGATACTTATCTCCCCGCGGAGATCGTCTTTTTGTCGGCCGTTAACAAACGGCCCGGCGGATTAGGCCTCGCTCACGGAGGGGCGAACGGAAACTACTCCTACTTGTATACTTCATAGAAATATGCACAATGCGCGGTGCCTTCGTTACATTCAGGTGTCATTCAGCGCGGCGTAATGAAATGCGAAAGGTAAGACGGTTGCCAACTATATGTTGCACTAAAACGAGAACGGGCGCGATGATCTGTGGGAACTTTCTCGAACGCGACGCGTCGCTCTCTTCCTACGGATCACTCCGGCCGGAGCGAGACGATGGTGTGTACAGTTAGCGAACGTCGCTAACGAACGCACTCTCAATTAGTGCACCTTCCCGCCGACGTATCTTTTTTTTTTCTCCTTCCCGCGTTCCTCTCAGGTCACTGGAACAAATCGACTTGTTAGGAAATGTACAAGCTACAGTTATCGAGAATGACAGAAAGATCGCTGCTCTTTCCCATCCAAGCAAGAAAACGATTAATTAAAAATAAACGTACTTACGGTGACGAAATGTCATGTTTTTTATTTGTACGATGTATACTTGGAATATCCTAGTTCAAACTCGTTATTCAGCGCATCAAGCTCGCGGGTAAATTTAGAACGAGCGATACGGCCAAGTGTGGTTTTTATGTGGTTTTACATTCCGATTGTGAATAATCCTCGAGTGATGATATAACTCTGTAAACATATCGAGTAATAAATTCCACTTCAAATATTAGACATAATGGTATTCTCTAATCTTTCTAGACATTTTTTTTAATGTCTAGAAAAATGTTCGAATAACTTACACATCTCAGCAATTAGCAATAGTGTAATCATTTCCCTTGAAAGGAATCTAATAGACGGCAAAAGATTTTATCGCATATCTCGGCAAATGTCATTATAAGCGCAGGTATTGGAGTTTAGGCGCCTTCCATCGTGTTCCAGAACATTCGAGGTTCAGCTGCAGCAGCTAATCGATAGATGCACGAAGTGAGTTATATAGATATAACGTATAGAAAGTGCGCAAATGTCCGACCCAGCAAAATAAACGTATCGATTATACATTTCATCCATTATTTTGCTTCGCCGCGATCGCGTTGTCAGCGAATAAAAATGGGAATTACTCATCAGTTACACCAGTAAAGATTAATATAGCCTTCGTTGCGGGTTATAAAAAAAAAAAATTCCGCATCGTAATTCTTGCGACTAATATTAATGTCGCGTAAATTATAGCGGCCTTGTGCTATAATGATAGTATAATTCAAGTTTTTTTTCTCTCTCAGCAGAATATACTACCTACAACGTAATAGATAATAGCTTTGTGTAAAGTTAGACAATTTCCCTCGCATCCCCCGTCTGTAATAAACCCAACAACAAGTTGTTTATACTTCATCGTACAGCCAGGATAACATCTCCGTGCAAAGCAAAGGGTGAACATCTATTACGCAACACGAAAATTGCCCCACCCTAATCGCGCGCCGCGGCGCAGAACTTCGATCGCGGCTGACAGAGAGAGAGAGAGAGAGAGAGAGAGAAAGGAAAGAACGCTGCGTCGCAATATTCTCTCCTCCCTCGGAGAGAGAGACCCCCGCGCTGTTGCAAAGTTTTCCTCTCGCCATCGCATTGTCGCGGCCATCCCGCGTTCGCGCGGGTTTACCCTCATCAATCCGCTACATAAATAACGAACTCTCCGTCCGCGCGGCGCGGCGTCGTCATGCTTCCCCGAGCGAGCGCAAACGGGTAACCTGCCCGCCTGGACTAATTTTAGTTGCCTCGCCGGTATCGCGCGACCTTGAACTCGACGCAGTCACGTCGTGGATGATGTTGCAGCTAGCACCGGGGGTCGGGAGTAACATCGGCGCAACCTCGGGATCTCGAGATCTCGGATTCCGGTCGCGCGCGGCGCGGCGTCCCGTCCGGCGTCGAACGGGACCGGTCGAGCGGGCCAACCCGGTTTCCAACGATCTCGCCCTGTGACACTTGCGGCGGGACAATACTGCAAGTAGGCATACCTTTTCCACGGGGGCAACATGGGCGTTTTTCGAGCCCCGCAGGGTGCACGCAGGTGTGCGTGTATACATGTGTGTATGTGTGTGTGTGTTTTATGCGCAGCCTAGCTGGGACGCGCGTTTCTCGAAACGTCGACGAAACGCCCCGCTATCGATCGCATCCGTGACCAAGTTCCAGCCGGCGAGAGTGTGTCGCTGGGTGAAGGTTGATGAACCTTTTGCCGGTTGCCACGTACCATGTTTTTACACCGGCCGTACTCGTTGAATAAATTCATCGCGAAATTACGCAATTCTCTACACCAGCTGCCATGCGGGATCACGCAACAGGATCATTGTGCGAAACTGTCGGAGATTTTTGTTCGCGAAATACGTCCGTGTTAACACCACATTGCTTTCTTTGAAGTCAAATTAAATTATCAGATTAGACTACATATCTTAATTGAATAATTTTAATTTGTAAGAATTTAAATTCACTGCGCTGTTTTGTGATCCTGTGAATTTATATAAATAATAGTAAAATATACATATATCAACCCAATTTACTGTATTCTGATTTATCTCAAAAGAGAAAGTCAAACGGCGAGAATGTATCCGTGTATATGTATACAAGTTCCAACTTTTAGCCACCGCATAGAAGAAACGACGTTCGAAAAATAAAGAGATAAAAATAACGCAAAACTTAGCGTGGGATCTTTTAATATTCTAAAAGTGTCCAAGATGCACTTCGCTCATATTAAATTTCACCCACTCGAATAGTGATCTATTTTTGGGCGAAGAGGATTATATTATCTTCAAACACATGATGGATGCATTATTGAAGAAACTAGAAAAATTTAATTAAAAATTTATTGATCAATTTTTTGTTATCTGATAAATATAATAGCGCAAGAACATTGCGCAACTTATGTGGCGCAGATCTTCTTTGTCTACAGCCGATTCAAGCATTGCAATATCGATATTAAGCGCAATTATTGTAAATATAATTTATTTATACAATAATAAGCCTTTCTTTGTTATAAAAAAGAGAATTCATAGACTATTAATAATCTCTCCAAGTAATTAAAACTAATAGATAAGTTATTTTTCGAAATATTAGAAATATTAAAAGAACGAAAACCAATTATAGCATACTAGATTGAATGATTCAACGATTTTTTACTTAGATGAATATAAAATAATTGAAAAAAGTATCATTGTAGTAGCCTATTAGGATTATCGTTACATCTGCCATCTAGTAAAACTTGCAGTTACTCTGAAGAAAGCATGACCAATAGACGATAAAGAAAGTAAGCATGATACGTAATAAATAATTATGTAATTATTATTTGTCATGTAAAATATTATTAAAAATTTTAATATTATACTATAGCTTCGTTCATGAATTATATATAACAAATTATTAAGCCTGTTATTTTTATTACATGATTATATTATTCGACTGTGTTGACAAGTTAAACGAATTTTTATCATTTGAACTGGATTTTTTCCTGCTTAGGTGACTTTCGGCAAACAGCACTTGATAGGCAAAGGTTCCAAGTAAACCTCCCAAAATAGGACCAACCCAATAAATCTAATTAAACAAACAAAATTAAATAATTTGAAAGAGGCTTATCAAAAAAATTAAATTAACGATGAAAACATTTTTATAATTTATATTAACTATTGTTCAGAAATACACTTTTACATGAAATATTATATGATATAATCTCAGATTATTATTGCCACTGAATCGAAAGAAATCTTCGATAAAGGCGACGTATAAATAAACTGATATATCATTAAAGATAATTTTGCTGTGTGTGCTACAGTAGCTTATGCGTTCTTTATCGCGTATATCAGATAAATAATTTTATAGAAATTCTTATAAATGATCGAAAGCAGGTTAACGTAATCTGTCTTCAATATGTATCGTGTGTATAATCTGAGTTATATAAAGATTAAAATAAAAACACTATTGTAGTCAATTTTTAAATGTAAATGTTCTGTATCATATCACCGTATTACTTAACAATTTCGCTTTGGAAATAAATCTTCATTCTTATTTTTATCTACACTAATTGTAAGAATAAATTTTTATTTTCAACTTACCCAATGATCCTTCCAAGAACTATTCCAAAATGCAGGCGCAAATGACCGCGCTGGATTCATACTGCAGCCGGTATAAGGGCCCTGAAGAGATATAGGAAAGAATAAATTACTCGGTTTTTAATTGTATATCTTACTGTAAAAGATTATTGGTTACTTTCATGTATTTTGTTACTTTCCTCTTTTATAAAGTTATACCATATGATGACAAATTTTATTAAACATTATTGAGCAATACTCAGTATACATATATTTTTAAGTGATAAAAATTTAGGAAAAAAGAATAATTAATGTATCGAAAAAATAATAATAATTTTAACAAAGAAGATGTAAAAATTGTTAAAAGTAGCTTTACCGCCGCGAAGGAAAGGGTGGCGACTGAGAAGCCGAATTTGAGGGCCACCGAGTCCGTAATGTGAGCGCATCGAAGATCCCACGTGGCGCAAGCCGCGCAAAGTAAGCAGAACGTGCAAAACACCTCGACTAATAAACCTTGCACGCAGCTAAGCCCCGGATGAACAACCGTAACGCAAACGCCGACAGTCGAGTTCGGGTTTCCGTCGTTGAACAATTCCGTCGGCGTTACCACCTGCGGGAATACATGTTCACATCGCAATGAATATATTTGGCACATTAAAATAATAGCGAAACAATAAAACAGCACTTTTAAAAGTCCGTATCCTATGATGGCGCCGACAAGTTGTCCCAAGATGTAGATCACACCGGTCGGAATTGACTTCAGGCCCATTATGACGGCACCGATGGTAACAGCCGGATTGAGATGAGCGCCACTTATGTGACCTATCGTCTGAGAAATATTGGTGATTGAAATTTTGAAGACGATGTAAACTGGATTTTTTTTAATGCTTCGTAAATGCTTTGTAAAAATATATATTTCTATCCAGCCAAGAAATTTAACTGCATCAATATTATAGTTATTAAATTATAGTTTATGATTTTATAGTACAAAAGTCAACTTATTTATAACTTGTGAAACTTATATCGCGTGCATGTGAATGAAGAATATTTATTGTATTATATATTCGACATAAAACAGAATAATTATACACATACCATAATTACGAGATTCACCGTCAGACCGAAGGTGAGTGCCGTTTGCAGCGGCGGAGGTGGTGTGGATCCCAAGCTGCCGACGTTCCCCATACAACCGCAGAGCAGGAGGATACATGTGCCGACGACTTCCGCCGCGAACATCGACAACGTGTTCTCCTGCATCTTCCACATTTCGACTGTAAAAAAATCCCACGAAAAATCATACAAAATCTCGGGAAACGTTTAACCTAAACCTCGGTAACGAACACTCACTGTTCCGATCGCTCTGCACGGAGATCACTGACGCTGATTTCGACATAACTATGACTATTACTTTAATCTCTGCACAAATCGCCGCGAACCGCATAGCATCGTTATTTTTTATAGACTAAAGATAGAAAAAAGAATACAGCGGTGTCTTATCGGTAGATACGTCGAGTGCTCTTCAAATCGCTTGAATACTGCACACCGGGAAGATATCCACGTTCGCGATATGACATTATTTCTTCGAACTTTGGTAGAGATACGGCAGATATTTAACAACCAAATAAATAACATAATTATTATCGAATAATCACCGATGCGCCACAAGCCCGTTTGACTCGTTACGAATTATCTGTCCACGTTCCGGATGGCTCCGTGCTCCGAAAAGAACTCTCTGCTTCTTCCAGACGACGCGCGACGTGGAAGAATAAAGCTCCGGACTCGGAGAATCCAAAGCTACCACTGCTCATAGCGCATGCGTTGTCGCTGAAATTGCATGCGTTGTCGCTGAAATTGCATACATTTTCCTTGCCATTAAAACTTCCGACGATTCCACGCAGATTGCCGCGAGGAAAATAATCGTGAAGGGAATCATCTTGCACGCAAGCGCCCGCGGTTTGACTCTCGTGGCAGGACGCGCGCTCGTGTCCGTCCAGTCGTTGGAAATATTCATATAACGAAAATATTCTGTATTAAAAGAAAAAGTACGAAGTAAAAATAAATTTCGAGAGTGATGCCGACGGAAGAGTTTAGGCTATTTCGAAATCACAATTACAAGACCGACATCGAATACGTGGTGAAGGTGGCCAAGACTTTACTAACGCCCGTGGGTATCTGGCCGCTCTACCGAGGCAACTCCAGATCCGACAAGATCAAGAATTACCTCCAGACAGGCGTGATATTCGGCCTGATGTGCTTTCTGCTCGTCCCGCACGTCATATACACCTTCTTCGACGCCGAGGATCTGACCAGATACATGAAGGTCATAGCCGCCCAGGTGTTCAGCTTGCTCGCCATTATTAAATTCTGGACGATGATCATCAACAGGGAGGGGATCAGATTCTGCCTGCAGAAAATGGAGCTTCAGTACAAGGACGTGGAGTGCGAGGAGGATCGGCTGGTGATGACGAGGAGCGCCAAGATCGGCAGGCTCTTCACGGTGACGTACTTGGGACTGTCGTACGGCGGCGCGTTGCCCTATCACATAATCATGCCGCTGCTGGCGGACCGGATCGTCAAAGAGGACAACACGACGCAGATACCCCTGCCGTACCTCAGCGACTACGTCTTCTTCGTGGTGGAGGACTCGCCGCTCTACGAGATCATCTTCGTCTCGCAGATCCTGATCAGCAGCATCATCCTCTCCACGAACTGCGGCGTCTACAGCCTAATCGCCACCTGCGTGATGCACAGTTGCTGCCTGTTCGAGGTCGTGCGCAGGCAGATGGAAACGGTCCTCGACGGCGGCACCAGCAATCTCCACGAGCGACTCGAGAGAATAATCGAACACCACACGCAAGCCATCCAGTGAGAAAGTTTTTTATTTGTACTCTGAGAAAGTTTTTAATTTGTACGCTGTACATTAGTCCCAGCAAATACCTACAAATTATAACCGCAATATTACAGCAACATTGCAGTTATAATCTGTTTGCTGGAGTACCTCTAGATTTCCTCAAGTCTTGGAATTTTTAGATTATAAATTACGTAAGGTAAACGTGCCAGTGGCTGAACGTGTATCTATAGCTGAACAAGTACACAAAGATTTATTTTTAAATGATTTTTTTCATAATATTATAATTTAATTGTAATCTTTAAATATTTTTACAATTAAATTTTGATATTATAATAAAAAAAGTATTTGAGATTAATAAATTTTGTGTACGTGTTCAGACATAGATACATGTTCAGCCACTGGTACGTTTACCTTAATATATACATGTCTTTAAATTTAAGATTATAAATCACACGTAATATGCAGTCATATGTATAATGCAAGCAATTAGGATAAAGAAAAAAAAAATGCGTTTAATAATTCACATCAAGTTTTATTTAAGTTCCCTAAGTAATGAAATAAGTTACAGATTCGCGGAGATGATTGAGAAGTCATTAAACATTGTCTTTCTATGCGAAATGGTTGGATGCACTATTATTATATGCTTTCTGGAATTCGGAGTTCTTAAGGTATTTTTAGTAAAAATTATTAAAATAAAATTCTGCAAATCTATACGTTTATGTAAATTCGTTTACAGGAATGGGAAGACGGAAAAATCTTAAATACGGGTACATATTTCGTTTTAATGACGTCAATATTTGTAAACGTTTATATTATATCGGCTATCGGTGATCGTCTTAAAGAAGAGGTACACACATTCCACTTTTATACTAAATAATTCATAAATTATAAAATACTTTGTAATACGTAATCCATCGTAATTACAAACGAGTGAAAATTTCATATAAAAATCGATCCAAATTCAGCTCTAAAAATAAGAGTAACAATATGATACACATGATATAATCAATTAATCGATCGATATTCATTTGTTGCTTTTTATGAAGAGCGAGAAAGTAGGAGAATCGTCGTTTTCTATCAAGTGGTACGATTTGCCAACGAAAATTGTAAAGGATTTAATTCTGGTGATGCTCAGATCAAACCGTCCGTCAACCTTGACAGCCGCGAAAATATTTGATCTCTCCCTTCAAGGATTCTGCGAGGTAATTACTCACTCTAACGAAGTGTTCATCTGAAAATTGATACAGATAATATCCGATATATGTATTACGTGCATTTCAGGTTTGCAAAACATCAGCGGCGTACTTTAATTTTATACGAGCGATGACTACATAAACTCTCAAGTATTACCGCATAAAGTATCGAATATCTACTTATACATATATATAAAAGAAATGTTAAGCTGTCAACGTCACTTCGTGAGATACAATACATATGACTTACTTGTCTTATATGACATCAGCGAAACAATCACCTCTCTGTCGAACAATAAATCATACTACTAACAGTCGTATTGCATGGTACACGTCATATAATTTCCATATATATAACGTTTTCACGATTCCGTCTTTTCTACGAAAAGAATTTATTTGAATTGTCAACTTTCCGAGTTGTATAACTAATTTGCGTAATGTGTATTCTTTGTCCAGAACTTTTATTACCGTATCATTATTTTTCCCTTTTCGAAACTTCTTCCTTTCCTCGAGTTTTATAAAACATAAATCGTAAGTAATACGAGATCGCGTATTCTATACAATCATCCTAAATAGCGAGGCGCAGTTTGCCTGCAAGGAACGTTATATCAATAAAATGACTTACCGAGATACAAATAATCTGGCGTTCTGTTGAAAATGTTGAAGTAGAGACAGCGCAGTTGAATTTCATTATAAAACTTATATACAGGTGTCAATATCGTCTTGTACATCAAATTATTAAGATCTGTATAACGCACACATTTTTATCAGAAGTAGGAATGCATTCAGAATTGCGCATTATTTGCTATCACGAAAATATTATTTGATACTGCTTGATTCGAGTTAGTTCTGAGAATTTATCATAATTTTTTACAATAAATTTTCATTATAACTGAATTTTTTAAAAAGTAAGTATAACTCGATTTATATTCTCAATGCGTTAGAGAAAGCTAAATATTGTCAATTTACATCTGATATGCAGTAAACATAAAAACGTACACAGCAAACATCTTCAAATTAGATTTCACTTCGTGAAGCGCAGAAATACATTCACCGTTCTGAGCACCGTACGCTTTTGCTCTCGACAGCTCAACGAAGCGAACCCCCCCGTACCCGCGAGTACCTCTTGACAGCGCCTGCGTAGTCATTGAAATCATATGTATATGTATATATTTTTTTTTTCCAATGGAAGTTGCGGCGATTCTCAGAAGAGTAGCCCTTGCTGAAAGTTGCCTCGGAGAGAGGCGAACTTTTCGCACGCAAGCGCCCACGGTTAACTTGCGTGCCAGCCGATCAACAACCCCCGCGGCCATCACACTTTGTTGTTGCCAGTCGGGAATCAAGCGTGCGAAGCGAATAATTGTGTAACGGCAATGATCGCGGGCATGTCGCCGGCCGACAACCGCGCGCTATTTCGAAACTTCAATTACAGATCCGACGCGGAGTACGTGGTGAGAATCGCCAAGATCCTGCTGACGCCCGTCGGCCTCTGGCCGCTCTACGGGGACGATTCCTTGACAGACAAAGTCAAATACTATTCCCAGACGAGCGTCGTGTTCTGCTTGATGTGCTTTCTCCTCGTCCCGCACGTCATATACACCTTCTTCGACGCGGAGGACCTGACGAGATACATGAAGGTCATAGCCGCCCAGGTGTTCAGTCTGCTGGGCATCATCAAGTTCTGGACGATGATCATCAACAAGAACGACATCAAGAGCTGTCTGCAAGTGATGGAGTCTCAGTACAGGGACGTGGAGAGCGAGGAGGATCGGCTGGTGATGATGAAGAACGCCAAGGTCGGCAGGCAGTTCACGATGACGTACCTGGTACTGCTGTACGGCGGCGCGTTGCCCTATCACATAATCATGCCGCTGCTGGCGGACCGGATCGTCAAGGAGGACAACACGACTTGCCTGCCCCTGCCCTATCTCAGCGACTACGTCTTCTTCATGGTGGAGGACTCGCCGTTCTACGAGATCCTCTTCGTCGTCCAGATCCTGTTCAGCACCATGATCCTGTCCACGAACTGCGGCGTTTACAGCCTGATCGCCAGCTGCGTGATGCACGCCTGCTGCTTGTTCGAGATCGCTCGCAGGCATATGGAAACGTTGCTGGTCGGTGGGACTGATAGTATTCATGAACGATTCAGCTGGATAATCACGCATCACATGAAAGCTCTCAGGTCGGAAAAAGAATTGTGATATTTTTCAGCAAATGCGTGTCGCCGATAATATTAATATTCATTAAATTTATTAAAGTATTCAATTTATTAAAGTAAAACAAACTGAATTTTATTTTTGCCGAATATTTCTTTGAATAACGTGAATAATTTTCATTACATTGTCGTGTGTTTATTTTTTATTACTCCCGATTTGTAATAATTACATTTCTTCTCATTTCATAATAATATACCTATTACAGGTATGTCGAAATGATCGAAAATTCATTAAATTTCGTCTTTCTGTCAGAGATGGTTGGATGTACTATTATCATATGCTTTCTTGAATATGGAGTTCTCAAGGTATTTAGATACATTCTCGCACAATCGAAGGAATGATTTATTCTTAAAATTAAATTATATATATTTTTTTTACACAAATTTCTTTCAGGAATGGGAAGATAATCAAATGTTTGGCGTGATCATATATTTCATATTAGTCACTTCAATTTTTGTAAATGTCTTTACCTTGTCGACTATCGGCGATCGTCTTAAGGAAGAGGTAAACTTAATAATCATTATTTTAAAACAAATAATTAATTAAGTTAAAGTGAGCTATTAAGTAAAATTAATTAGTCAGTTCGATTATTAAACATTGAGCTCTTTATATTTAACTTTTTTCTTGAAGAGTGTAAAGATTGGAGAGGTGTCGTATTCCATCAACTGGTACACGATACCGACAAAAAACGTGAATAATTTAATTATGGTGATGATCAGATCGAATCGTCCGTCGACTTTGACAGCTGCTAAAATGTTTGACATTTCTCTTCACAGTTTTTGCGACGTAAGTGTGCAATTTCTTTCGTTATATTAATCTGAAAATTAAACATACGCTGTTCAATAACAATGTTTACAGGTGTGCAAGACATCGATGGCGTATTTGAATTTTATTCGAATGCTTACGACGTAAAATGATTTATATTATTCCAAATAATTACTCCAAATTCGCCATCTACTGAAATACTAATTTTTTGTCCCGCTCAAAATATATATTATTAATTTCTTACCTATATAACAAATCACAAATATAAAATATTATATTCATCATTTCTCTTTGCTCGTATCTATCATTTAGCGACGTTCATTAAGGCGACATTTAAAAACAGATCAAACGATGAATCAATTGCGTTACTAATTCAGTAATAGGTAATTAAAGTAACATTAAGATCATTTCTGGATCATTATAGCAGGATTAATGCTCGTTATTTCTGTGCATTCATACATACCTTTATAATTATATTAATATTACATTTATTTGTACGCGCCGCACGGAGTAAAGGGGCTATTATTAGTCAATATCACGATGCAAACACTCGGCTACGATTCACCCTTTTCGCAGAAAAAAAAAACGGACTCAAAGTTTAAACTGCGAACTACGATTTTGCAATAGAGTCGGATTTACTTTGCAGTCGTGTCCCCTCCGTTTTGAAGTTCCTCGAAGCAATATTATCCCCTCGCTCTGTTTTCAACTGCACTTTCTCTCTGAAAATAATTATATACGTAGCGGTAACAGAAAATTTTCCCAAAGAAATAGCCGAGTGAATTAAAAATATCGCGAGAAGTAATATTAATATTCTTAAAAAATGTATGCGACCTGCTGAATGTACAAGTAATTTAATATATAAGATTGAAGCATGTAAGAGTTAAGCGAGGCACAAAGTTATGTAAAAAAAACTTTCACGTACGTAGAATTTTTCGAGGAAAAGATTAGAATTTGTCGTACACGTATCGTCAGTAACTTTACGACGATCATCGGACGAAAGTTTCCACCGCATCATCGTGGCGACCACCGGCCGTGTCCCCGCTCACCCCTTCCCGATTTCTTCCAACTGCAGCTGCTGTTTTTCCCCCCGTGAAACTTAACCGGCACATTAGAAAATGCAAATTACGAGTTATCAAAGTCGCGGCGAGGACTCGTACGCGGCGAGGACCGGAGGCGAGTTCATCGAACGGGCCGCGCATGCCTCGTGGTAAGAAAATCGCGTAATTCTGATTTCGCGATCGGGACAGTAAAGGTAGAGCCGGCGGCGGCGTTACACGGTTTTTTTTGAAGATGGTCGATCGGAAGCAAGGAAACGCTCTGAACACCTCGCTCGCCAAATACGGCGTGACGAGGGAGAACAAGTCGCACATCGCGAACTTTCGTTACGCCGTTCAGATAAGCGTTTACCTGCTGAAGCCGATCGGCGCCTGGCCGCTGGCCAATGACGAGAGGTCGAGGCTGAAGATCGCCTTGCACCGGGCGACGATGGCTACCGCCACGTTTCTCCTGCTCTTCTCCATCCTGCCGTGGATCGTGCGCATCGTGAAGGACAAGTGGGACGTCTTCCTGATCATCCGTACGATCTGCCCGCTGTTCTTCACGGTGACGATTTTCACGAGATACGTTCTGCTGCTGTGGCATCAGGATCGGCTCCGGGTCTGCGTCGAGCGCGTGGCCGACGACTGGCGGCGCGCGATCCTCGCCGAGGATCGCGACATCATGCTGGCGAACGCTCGAATCGGCCGCACCTTCGGCGTCATCTCCGTGGTCTTCATGTTCAGCTGCGGCACGCTGTTCTATACGATACCAATAGTCACGCCGAATCTGATTAATGAGAACAACGTTACCGTAAGGCTGCATCCGTCACCCTGCGAGCTTCTCGTGTTCGATTCCCAGGTAAAACTTCCAACCCCGACTTGCGGGGTGAGGCGACAGCGTTGACATTCGATCAAATCTGATCGGCGTTTTTCCCTTTATAATAGGTTGACATTTCCTCTCTCTCTCTCTCTAGATATACATTTATAATCTTCAGGCATCTCGTCTCTTTATTTGTAACATTTTAGTTTTGATTATATCTAAAAATTGATTATATCCACAAGTTAGATCGACAAATATAAATCAATCTTATCGTCGTATAGGCTAGTCCTGTTTACGAGATCGTGTACTTCTTACAAGTTCTGTCCGGTTGCACTGCCTACAGTGCGTTCTGCGGCATTTGCAGCTTGATGGCCAATTTCGTCACACACGTGTGCGGCCAGTGCGACGTGTTGACGTTGATTCTCGAGGAGACCGTGGACGGTGGTAAACGCAATGGCGGTTCCGTCGAGGATCGAATCGCCACCGTGATAACCCGACATTTGCGTCTGCTAAGGTAATTGAAAAAAAAAACACTAATGATTAACCTTCATTACAACAATTGCGTTCGACGGCAGTTACAATCTTAGGATAAATCGCGCAGCGAGACTCTTCGAAATTTCATCCGACATCGATTTTCCAGACTGGTTTCTAACGTAAGCGGCTTGTTCACCGAGATATGTCTCGTGGAATTCGTGAACGCCTCGTGTAACATATGTCTAATCGGCTATTACATCATAACCGTACGTTGGCCGATTCCTCTATAGGGAACTCGAAGCGATCTTAAAGCAAACATCGTCCGACACCTCAACGATCGCAATCGTTCGTTAATCCCTTCCCGAATTTCAGGACATGAACAATAACGGGTCGTACGTGCAGATTTTTATGTACCTCTTCGCGCTCGCGTCGATCGTCTTCAACGTGTACATGTTTTGCTACATCGGGGATCTGCTGAAGGAGCGCTGCCAACAGGTGGGAACCGCTTGCTACACGATCGAGTGGTATCGCATGCCACCCAGGAAGGCGATCGAGCTGCTGATGCCGATCGCCATGTCCCGATACCCCACGACGCTCACCGCCGGAAAGATGATAACGATGACACTTATCACGTTCTCCGACGTGAGTAACGCCATTTCGCGATCTAAGCGCGAGGCATCATAATTAAGACTGCTTGATGCGCTTGTCGCAACAATTATACGTTTTATACATAATGCATCTATTACTTACAATTAGATGTTTGAATTAGTCGGTGTGTTAAGTATTGTACTGATGTGTGCCAGCAGATTCCAATAAATATCCTAATAAAATCTATGTATCTGAAAGATGCTCGAAATCTCACGAATCACACTGAAAACGAAATGTTATATCGCAGATCTTAAAGACGTCAATGGCATATTTCAATTTGCTCCGTGAATTTTCCTCGCGAGACGTTATGAGAACGTAAGACATGGCGGCAAACGACATTCCGGAAAGGAAATTACATCGCTCGGAATATTTGTACAGAGAATTATATTAATAGTTTGACAAATAACGCACGTGTTAGAATATCACTTACGATGAAATAAAGATTATTTCTCTTCAAAAATGTGATAATATTACTATAAAAAAAAAATAGAATCTACAAAGTGCTCGTGTTCCAAACGCAACGTGTACCAAATCGGAGCATTATTAATCGATATATAGGAACAATGACCTCGCCGAAGAGATCGGACAAAAGTTTTATTTACCGTCGTTGCGATGGAAGACTAAGTTAGTCCTTTACTCCCTTGAAAAAAAAAAGAACCGCTCTCGTGATTCGAGTTACGAAGTCAAAGTTTCCGTCGCACACGTATACTATCGTGCGTTGAGAAATCAACATCGCGTGCAAAATCAATCGCGAAACTTCTTCTCGTCGATCGCTATCTCGCATCCCTTACGTGTGGCATTTCAATTTTTAAAGCACGCAGGCGCAAGCCGCCCGAGACTTTAACATCACGCCTAGGTATTCGCAAAGTTGCGATCGACAAAATCAAACCATACGCAAACCATACTGACTCTAAACATATACATATCTCAATTTTCAACTCCCGCAACAATTTAACTAAAACAATTTCGGTTCTCCAACGACAGCCACGATCTCTCCGTCGCGATCGTAGAATTTTCGGTCGTCCTAACGTTATCGAAATTACACGGTGATAGCCTTCTGGCTCTTAACAAAGAAAAAGTCGTGCGCTATTCGTATCGCCTAGGGATGATCCTCAACGAACATTACGAGACGGACGTGAAGTACGTCGTCGAACAAAGTCACGTTGTACTCCGTATGCTCGGTATCTGGCCGTCGACCGACAGACGGCCGAACGTGATCGAGAGGATGACGAATATCCTCCTCGTGATCGTCTGCTACCTGCTGCTCCACTGCGACATGGTGCCGGGTGTTCTCTACTACGTGATCGTCGACGACGACACGCGCGAGAAGGTGAAAATGATGCCGCCGATCCTGTACTCGGTCATGGCGATCGCCAAGTACAGTACTCTACTTATCCACGTGCACGACGTCAGAAGCTGTCTGCGGCACATCGAGACGGACTGGGGGACAGTGGCCGTCGGTGAGGCGCGAGAGGTGATGCTGGGCAAGGCCGGTACCGCCAGACGACTGTTCGTCCTGTGCTGCACGTTCATGTATTGCGGCGGGCTGTCCTACAATACGATCGTGCCGATCTCGAGAGGAAGCGTCGTTATCGGGAACACCACGTTCAGGCCCTTCTCCTGCCCCGGCTATTACGTTTTCTTCGATCCGCAGAACAGTCCTGCCTACGAGATCGTGTTCGCCCTGCAAGTCCTCTGCGGTTTCGTCATGTACACGATCACGGTGGCGATTTGCGGTCTCGCCGCCGTCTTCGTGATGCATGCGTGCGCGCAGATGGAGATCCTGATGCGAATGATGGAGAGCCTCGTAGACGAGAGCGAGCTAAGGCAGCGGAACGCCAGCGCGAAATTGGCAGTTATAATTGAACATCAGATCAAAATACAAAAGTGAGTGAAAACACGTCGTTTTTCGCGTAATTTTCTTTCGTCCGCATAAATCGAACATTAAGTAAATATAAGACATTACAACATCTGTGTTTGCTCGTTTGGCTTTTATTTCCTCTAATTTTTATTTTATTCTAAAATACGAGCCAATATACAATTTTTACTTATAAGTAAATATGCTCGAAGATAGAAAATCTATAGATATTCATAATTTTATAATTATATTTAATATTAAATACTATCACATTAACGATAAATATGAGGAATTATATAATATATATATTTGTATTTTTTTTGTAACTATTATATAACACGTTAAATATTATTTCGTCTCCGACGACACTGAATCGAGTGCTTGATAAATATATTTTAGTTTCTTGCAACTGGTGGAGAGTACTTTGCGCTACAGTAGCTTAGTCGAAATAGTGGGGTGCACCATGATCATGTGCCTTACCGGATATTGTATAATAGGGGTAACGAAAAAAAATAACGCAAGAGCAAATGCATTGTGTTTAGGCGCAATGCGTGTCGCGAGTACAAACTAATTTTATTCTCAGGAATGGGAGGAGAGAAACTTGTCGGCCCTCATTTCGTACGTAACAGCTCTCACATCTGTCATTATTAACATTTTTATTTTATGTTTTATCGGAGAATATATAACGACGCAGGTAATTCGTAAATATCTTATACCTTTTAAGATGTAAAATATAATATAAATATAAATATAAAGGTATCGTTTTATAAAAAAAGCATACGTTTGCTTATTTTTTTTTATACATGAGATACTCACGATTATCCACGATAGGCGGAAGAGGTGAGCTGGACTTTTTGCACGCTCGACTGGTATCGTCTTCCGACAAGCGTGGTGCGAGACATGATATTAGTGACAGCCGTTTTGGATGTGCCACCACGGATTACCGCCGGGAAATTCATCATTCTGTCCTTCAGAACGTTCGGTGATGTGAGCAATATAATTATCTGTTAGTAAAGATTAGTTTTAGGGTTGCTTTAAGGATTTAGGAAATCGTTTCAGGTAATTAAATCGGCTGTGATTTACCTTAACATGCTTCGACAACTTACCGAATAAATGGCAAATAAAACTGGGATTGGCAATGAATTTTCTTTTTAAAATAAACATACTTATATATTTTAACATGTTGAAAGATTTATTGTTGATGTTAATGGCAATAAGGAGTATCGATTATACAAGATAATTAAATGTTTAAGACGTGCATATAATATCGTTATAAGTATAATAGACATTGACTAAAATTTCTCATAGATATTTGCTCTTATAGAGATATATACATAATAGAATAAAATATATAAATATTATTTAGTACACGAGATATAAAAAATATGTTAGTGCAAACAAACACATTTGTATCTTTTAGCATCTCTTTGCAATATCTCTTTATACATTTCTTATGGAAAATTGTAAAGTTTAAGACCGCATTGCCGGTGGCGAGTAAACTTTTTTCTCGGAACGTCAACCCTTCCGTAATTTCCAGGAAATCCGCACAATGTTGCAAAACAAAAATAGTCCCGCGTAACGTTCCTCTCTTCAAAAGTTTTTATACACGCAACATTATAGCGATTTGTTCGACGTGGCTTTGCCAAGATTGCTTCAATACGCAAGCGCGCGCGAGTCGCGAGTCTCCTCTTCGAATCGAGCAGCGCGATCAACCGTGATCAGTTGGCGAGTGAACACGCATCGTTTCACCACCGTGTACGTTGGACAGCACAGGGACAGCCACGGTGGAAGATGTTCTCCAATAAAAATTACGAGCGCGATGTGGATTACGCCTTCAGGCTGAGCCGCTTCGTCTTTCGTCTGCTGGGCGACTGGCCCTACGCGCGCGCAAGGTCCTGGCTGCCGGAGGCCGTCGAGAGAGTCGCGGTGGTCCTCGTGTCCAACCTTCTCCTCACCTGCGAGCTGGTCCCGGCGATCCTCTACATGGCCATCGTGCAGCGGGAGACTCGCGCCAGACTGAAGGTCCTCGCCACCGTGATATTCGCGTTGCTGACGATGGCCAAGTACGGTAAACTGCTGATCAGCCGGGACCAAATGAGAAATTGCCTCGCGCAGGTCGAGGACGATTGGCGAAACGTCGTGTTCTCGCGCGATCGCGACGCGATGCTTGACAAGGTCAGAACCGGCAGGTGTTTGCTGATAACAGGCGCCACATTCATGTACTCCACCGGGGTGTCCTTTCGCACGATCATACCGCTGTCGCACGGCAAGATCGTCACCAAGCAGAGCGTCACGATCAGACATCTACCGTGCCCGAGTTACTTCGTTCTGTTCGACGTGCAACTCAGCCCCGCTTACGAGCTCGTATTCCTCGCGCAGTTCTTCTCGGATTTCGTCAAATGCACGATCACGACGGCGGTGTACGGCCTCGCGGGCACAACCGTCATGCATATCTGCGCGCAGCTGGAGATCCTGATAGTCCTGATGAACAATCTGGTAAACAAAAGCAAACTTAAAAATGTGAACGAAAGACTGGTCATTATTGTAAAGCATCAAATCAAAACGCGAAAGTAAAACGATCTTTACAAAAGTATCTTCAGCAAATTTGTTTGTTAATATTTTAATGTTCTTTTAATTGAGATCCATATGCAAAATAGATGTTAGGTACTCTGATTAATACATATAAGTTATTCGATAAATAAGACTCCTTATGTACAAACTCCCTTTATTATTGATTACATCGATTTTTATTTCAAAAATATAAGAAATCTTATTTATTGTACAGACATAAATTATTTTCTTCTTTTTGTTCTTCTTCTGTGAGTATACATTTTTGAAAAACAAAGCTTATATTTTTTTTTGCAATGCATTTTAGTTTCCTTCAACTGGTGCAGAATCTCCTATACAATATGCAAGTTTAATGGAAATTTTAGGATTGGCCGTATGTCTCATAGGATATTTTGTTATCCTGGTGCGCAAAAAATGATTATATAGCGACAATAATTTGAATGGTTTTGAAAGAGTATTGAGAATAAAAATAAAACGCACAAGAATTAGCAAGCATTATAAAAATAAATATAATCATTGAATCTATGAATTAGGAATGGGAGGATAACAATGCTGCAGCTCGGTGTCCATTGGACTTACATCAATTAATTTCAACATTTTCATCTTTTGCTTTATCGGTGAACAACTTTTGGCGAAAGTACATTATCACGTTATCAAAGTAATAATTAGCATTTATCAATTAACAACATGGGCATTTTAAACAATAACAAAAAACTGACAAGTTCATCAAAGTAAAAACAAAGAATTTCAAGAAAAGGCCAAATTAACAAGTAATTAAATTGTTTAAATTAAATTTTTTTATTGGTGATCTAAAATACTTTATTTATAATTAATTGTATAATTACGTGGTGATCTAATATGTATTATTAATTGTACAATTACTTGGTAATCTAATATGTATAATTAATTGTACAATTACTTGATGATCGATCTAATATGTATAATTAATTGATAATCTAACATGTATAATTTATTAATTAAACTAGGGAGAAAAAGTGGCACTAACAGCATATACACGTTGGAATGGTATCGTCTTCCGGACGCGAAAGCGCGATCGCTGATATTAATCTTTAAACCACTATATCGGTCTCACAGACCGTTATTGAAACATTACTTGTCAACCATTTTCTTATTTGTCACCATTTAAATATATTTTATTTCTATTGTATACGAGATTTTTTTGTTAAACCTTACATTAAAACAGTTTTCTTTTTCCCCATCACAAATATTCAGAAAACATACATTTTTATTATACATAACTTATAAAATTAGCAATTTTTTGGGATGTGGTGGTTTAAAGGTTAATCATGGTCATGTCAAATTCTCCGACGAAACTCAAAGAAGAAAAGTTCATCGATCTTTCCTTCAGGACGTTCGGCAACGTAAGTAATATGTTGAAAAATACAAAAATATATTTTTACAAAGACTCGTTGTATTTTAGATTGTTAAGACGGATAAGATTTTAACATATTTAAATCTTCTTCACTCTGTTGTTGGCTAACAATAAGTTTGAATAGAGTCATAAAGTAGATACATAAATGTAGTCTTCAAAGAAATATATAATGTTAAAATAAAAACGGCATGGACACATAAATCCCAGAACAATAATTTCTTTACTAGAATATCCGTTGTAAAACGAAAAATAAAAACTACACAAAAGTTAAAATATGTTTTGACGTAGAAACTTTTACTTACCCAGCGACATTGAAGCTTCGTAGAACGCAAGTTGCGGCAGAGACTTCAGCAGGATCAAACGCAATTATTTTTCAGAAAATCGGAAAAACTTGATGTCAGCATATCGAAACACCCTTCCATGGAAACGATTTGCCGCTTTCATTTTCTGCTTCTCACGCAACTACAAGTTTAGCAAGTTTATTTTTCTGTACCCCGCATACAATTATCGTAGAATATATAATAAAACATCGTAGGAATAAAAAAAATGTAATTTCATATTTATTTAATCCACTGACATTGTGAAAACCGTCATGTCAGAAATATAAGAAAACCACCACGTCAGTAACAATAGGATTGTTGTTATGATTTCTGAGTAAATCGAAGGGTGCTGGACTACATAATCAAAACTATTGCCAGCGGTCAACGTCCAGTGGATGTGTAATCGTGCGTTTTAGTGCAGGAAAAAAAAGTTGAAGCCAACTGACTATTCTTAGCTGCTTGAAAAAAAAAACATGTTGACGAATAGAGGCCATCATTCGTGGAAAACAATCCCGACCCTCGGTGAGCAAGTTGACTTGGAAACTCCTCTGGGGCTTTCGAACCCTCTCCTTCGCGGAACGTCTTAATCTTTAAAGCGCGCAAGCGCAAGTCGACGATGAATTTACGTTTACTGACTGGTTTTTTATTTGCAGTGCTCAGTCGCCGTTCCAGTCTCCGTAAAGATTTCGACTCGAGAACAACGAGAGAATGCTGCGCAACGAACACTACAAAGATGACATGATCTACATCACGCGACTGACGCGAAACGTTCTGAGCTTACTCGGGGCCTGGCCGGCTTACAACAGGGAAAGAACCACCGGCGAGAAAGCTTGGAGGTACTTTCGGATCGCGATCTCTTACATTCTTCTCTACTGCGTCCTGATCCCCGGTGGCCTCTTCTGGATAATCGAGAAGAGACCGCGCGTCCGTGTCCAAACGATCCCTCTGCTCTTCTACGGTTTCATGGCCAGCGGTAAATACGGTAATCTGGTGTTCCGCGAGAGTAACATTAAACGCTGCTTGAAGCACATCGAGGAGGACTGGAGGTTCGTTAACAGCGTCGAGGCGCGGGACATGATGATCGAGTCCGCGAAGACCGGGAGACGCCTCGTCACACTCTGCGCGGTCTTCATGTACGGCAGCGGGCTCTCCTTTCGATCGATCCTGCCGTTCGCCAAGGGAAAAATCGTCACCGCGCAAAACATCACGATCAAGCCGCTGCCCTGCCCGGCCTATTTCTTCTCCTTCGACATACAAGCCAGCCCCGCGTACGAGCTGATCTTCGCGATACAGTGCCTGTCCGGCGTGGTCACTTACTCGATAACGGTGGCTTTATGCGGCCTCGCGGCCGTCTTCGTGATGCACGCCTGCGGCCAGCTGAAGATACTCGTGAATCTGATGAGAAGCCTCGTCGAGGAGCAATGGCAGGAGAAACAGGAGGTGGACAAAAAGCTGGCTAAAATGGTTGAACATCAGATAAGAATTCGAAGGTAAGAGTTTGGAAGTTTTTATTAAAAATACGGATATCATAATTAAGTGCTTCACCTTATACGTAATAAATGATTATTCGCCAATCAATAGCTAACATCATACGTGCAGAGTATAGTCTAATACTATTTTCTCGTTTTCCAAATGTGTTGATTCCGTGCCATCGGCAGTTTTCTAAAATTGGTAGAGAATACTCTACAGCAAGCGTGTCTATTAGAATTGATGGGCTGCACGATGATAGTCTGCCTTCTAGGATATTTTATAATAATGGTTCGTAATTTTATATATCTGAAAGTTTCAATAACAAAGCGAAAGAGGGAAGAATGTCTCTTGCATTAATGTAACTTTCATAGGAATGGGAGAATAGCAATACCTTAGCTATCTACTCCTACTTTGTAACAGTTACATCCCTGATGATAAACATGTTCATGTTTTGTTATACTGGCGAACAACTTACCGTCGAGGTATGTTTGCCCAATGAGGATTATGACCGGTATTTACAGTCGATTCTTATCTCAAGATCATTAAGTAATGTCTCAAGATGCTAATATGGCTCTCTGATTTGGGTTATGACATCTTAAAACTGTATTTAAGATGGTCTTACATGTGAGAATCGACTGTGAATCCGCCTATATTATATGATAATGTAATATATGCAACAATTATACATGTATAATAATATAAGATATGATTTATAGTATATAATAATATATGATATGCCACTTGTTTTTTTATATGATACAATATTTGAAAAGAAGTTGTTAAAAACATTTTGATATTTTTTAATTAATCCTTAAATCAGCGAAAATTTTACTATACTTACTTGACTATGCTAATATCAGGCAGAGAGAGTAGCTAGTACATCTTGCGAGCTCGAGTGGTATCGTCTTCCGGACAAGAAAGCGCGTGCAATCGTGCTGGTGATAATCATGTCGAACATGCCCACCAAGATCACCGCTGGGAAGATCATGGATCTATCATTTAAGACATACGGCGACGTAAGAACATATATTTAAACGCATTCATTAAATTTTTTTTCTTCAGAAACTAATTTCTTCAACAACAATTCTAACATCACAATTAAATACGGTGCCAAGTAGTTATTATTATCACAATGAGATAGATGTCAAGCAAATGGAACTGTTCCTAATCAGCCTATCGTGCTAGTTGAAAGAAATCATGACGAAGTAAATAACTACAGGATGTTACGCTTGTCTTTCAGGTTGTGAAGACAGCTGTGACGTATTTTAACATGCTTGTAAAAGTAGCCGACTGAATGTTTCTGCTCTATATTTCGTCACGTCGGAACGCCTACGATTACGAATCATCATAATGGTAACATCGTATCGTGTATACTCGTGATATAGATGTGTCAAATACAGAAGCTTGGTGTGATGTACATATATCTATTCTCGATTTAGACATATTTCTTCTATATATTGAAGTATGCGTAAGAAATTTTTAATTTCTCCGAACCATGAAACTTGACATTATATTTTCATACAAAGCAGTTCGATACTTAATTAAGTATAATTGCTAATTTATCTTTTTATAATCTTTTATAATTTTATATAAATCATATCTTCACTTCATTGCAACGTGAGTAAGAGCACCGAGTAAAGATTAGGAGAAAATCGAAAATATAATATCACTTTGATCAATCACATACATACGAAGCCAATGCTGTTTTATATACCTGTTAATTTCTATGTGCGATTGTAACTCATAATCAAACGTATAATGTATTATCACGTATAATGAAAGGATGTTGTTCATCAACTGCCAATCAACGTTTGTTCTTCAAAACTAAAACCTAACTTGCATATCATATCGACAACATCACATTGTGCATACGAAAATAAATAAAAATACGACATGATAAGCATAATTCACACGACATGACATTGCGGTTTGAGTATTGATTGCACAATTTTTCTGCACATACATTTCACATCTGCTTGACGTGACTCTTCAGTTGCAAGTTGTAACAGTACAGTCAAACGCGATTTTTTTTTCCAGAGAATCGGAAAACTTTATCAACGTCGGCATATCAAAATGACATATCTCTTTCGCTTTTAACTCCTCACGCAACTACAAGTTTAAGAAGTTTACTTTTCTGCCCCAAGCAATTATTGTAGAATATAATAAGACACGCGCAAAAATATAAAGATACTTTTTTTTTTATTTAATCCACTGACGCTGTCACAATCTTCATTGTTCAGAAACATCACGACTGTTGTCTTATGTGTATCTATTGATCTCTAAGCAAATTTGAACTATTACTGTACCATGTAATCGAAACTATTGCTCGCGGTCAACGTCCAATAGACGCAATCATGAGTTTTAGTACAGGAAGAAAAGTTGAAGCCAACTGACTATTCTTAGCAGCTTGAAAGAAATATACACGTTGACGAATGGAAGCCCTTTTCTGGGAAAGCAATCCCAACCCTCGGTGAGCAAGTTGACTTGGAAACTCTTCTGCGCCCTTTCGAATCCTCTCCGTCACGCAACATTTCAATCTTTAATGCGCGCAAGCGCAAGCGGATGACGAATTTACTTTATTGGTAATTCTTATTTGCAGCGATCAGTCACCATCCGGTTTTCATGCAAGTTTCACACACAAGATCGACGAGAGAATGCTGGGCAACGAACGTTACAATGATGACATGATTTACATTACAAAATTGACGCGAAACATTTTGGGCCTGCTCGGAATCTGGCCGTCTTATAATACGAGCAAATCTACCGGCGACAAAGCTAGGAAATACTTGCTGATCGCGATCTCTAACATTCTTCTCTACTGCGTCCTGATGCCCGGGGTCTTTTTCTGGATAATCGAGAAAAGGACACGCGTCAGGGTGCAAACGATCCCTCTGCTCATCTTCGTCTTCATGGCCTGCAGTAAATACAGCAATTTGATATTCCGCGAGAGTAACATCAAACGCTGCTTGCAGCACATCGAGGAGGATTACAGGTTCGTCACCTGCGCGAACGCGCGCAACATGATGCTCGAGTCCGCGAAGGTCGGCCGACGGCTGGTTACACTTTGCGCGATATTCATGTACAGCAGCGGGCTCTCCTTTCGATTAGTTTTACCGTTTGCCAAGGGAAAAATCATCACCGCGCAGAATGTCACTATCAGACCTCTACCTTCCCCGGCTTACTTCATTTTCTTCGACGTACAAGTCAGCCCCACTTACGAGCTGATCTTCGCGATACAAGTGTTATCAGGGATGATCACTTACTCGATAACAACGGGTTTATGTGGCCTCGCGACCCTCTTCGTCATGCACGCCTGCGGCCAGCTGAAGATCCTGGTAAATTTGATGAGGAATCTTGTCGAGGAGCAATGGCAAGAGAAACAAGAAGTGGACAGGAAACTCGCAAGAATGGTTGAACATCAAATAAGAATTCGGAGGTAAGAGTTTGGCAGTTTCATTTATTCTTATTAAAATCACGCCAGTGTTGTACATCAAATGATTCAACGACAATCTATAATTGTTATAATTGATTATAAAATTATTGATATACGCGCCGAATGTGGATAATTACAATTACTCGTTCCTTGAATGTATTGATTCGATCATATTTCAGTTTTTTGGAATTAGTAGAAAATACTCTACAACAAGCGTGTCTAATAGAATTAATGGGCGCCACGATGATAGTTTGTCTACTAGGATATTTTATAATAATGGTTCGTATTTTCATATATCCGGGAGTTTTTCACAAGAAAAAGCGAAAGGCAGGAATATTTTTTACAATAATGTAACATTTATAGGAATGGCACAATAGTAATACAATAGCTATGTGCTCCTATTTTTCATCGATTGCATCTATGATGATAAACATGTTCATGTTTTGTTACACTGGTGAACAACTTACCGTTCAGGTATGTTTGTCCATACCTTTTCTTCGCAAAAAAACTATAAGACGCGATGATGATGGATGCAACAATTATACGTTTGTAATGACGTATGACACATAACGTTTGGTTACTTTATGCAATACTAAGTCAATACTTGAAAAGTTGTTGGAAATATTTTAAAAATATTTTTATAAACAATATTTAAATTCGCAAAAATTTTCTTACACTTACTATTAAATTTATAGCATCAAATTTAAGTCGCTATTTATCGCCACTGCTCTTTAATATATACAGTCGAATCTCGATAACTCAAAAACTTCTATAAGACGAAAATTTTGCTCATTCCCATCTGCTGTGGAAAACCTTTATAAATTGAAATGAAACCTACCTTAACTCAAATTATTTGTCTGATATTTAGATGTATTTTTTTAACTCGAATTTAAAGTAGCGAAACCTCTACAAGTCGACCTCTTCACCTCTATAAGTCAAACTTCTATTGTCGCTGCCTCTATAATTCGAAGTTGCAGTATCGGCAAAGCAGGCCAGAACAACGGTAAACGTTTTACGAAGTTTTATAAAAAGATGTAATAATATTGAGAACAATGTATTCTATGATTTGATTATCATTGAAAATGCCATTGGCAATGTATTAATACATTAACACAGAATAAAATTTCAAAATTTTTTTAATAACCATGAGTAATAGCCTGATATTTATATTTTGATTACATTTATTATACGTATGCAATAAATAATTTACTGTCAAGTATTGAATTTTTTACTTTTAAAAGCTATTATAATCGGAAAATTATAAACTCTCGCACAAATCCTCCATGTAAGTCGGATTTTCATATGTTAAATCTTTTTTTTTACTCGAAAACTTTGATAAGTCGAAACCTGTATAACTCGAAGATTTTAGCTCTTCCCTTGAGATTCGAATTATCGAGGTTCGACTGTAGTTATTTTTAAGTAAAACAATAGAGTTAAATAATTTAAAACAGTTCAAATTTAACCCAAATTTGGGTTAAATTTTATTGATTTATTTAAAAATAAATATATTGTTTTAGTTAAAAATAATATGTTAAGTAGGAGAAGTGGCGACTTAAATAGGGTTAAAAATTTGACATAGATTTAACAATACTTGAAAATAATAACAGGCCGAGAAAGTAGCTAGAACATCTTGCATGCTGGAGTGGTATCGTCTTCCGAATAAGGAGGCGCGTGGTATCGTGCTGGTGGTAATTATGTCGAACTTGCCCACCAGGATCACGGCCGGAAAGCTCATGGATCTATCACTCAAGACCTACGGTGATGTAAGCACACACGTTGAAAAGCGTTCACTTATTTTTTTACAAATCAGCAACTACATCAGCGACAATTGCACGATACAATTAAATACGTTTTTTTTAGTGATTATTATCATCATAATCTAATGGACTTGAATAACATGCAACATTTCTCAATCAGCCTATTGTGCTAGTTGAATAAAACTACGACAAAATAATAAAATAATGGAACACTGTTGAATCTATAGAGTTAAAATTAACTCTATGCACTAGTCACTGCTCCTATTTAATATATATAACTATTATTAACTAAAACAATATAATTATTTTTAAATAAAACAATGGAATTTAACAAAAATTTAGGTTAAATTTAAATTATTGTAAATTATTTAACTCCATTGTTTTAGTTAAAAATAACTATTAAGCAGGAGCAGTGGCAACAAATAATAAGGTTAAATGTGACTATAGATTTAATAGTAAATATTATGTTTGTCTTTCAGGTTGTAAAATCAGCTGTAACATATTTCAATATGCTTCTAAAAGTGGCGGACTGAATATTTCTGCTCTGTATCTCTTTCTTCTTATCAGGACCACGACTACGACCGCATCGTAAGGGTAATATCGTATACTCATGATATGAAATGTATCATATACAAAAGCCTGTTATAATGTATATATACAGACAAGTGTATAAGAAATTTTTGTTTCTCAGTACGGCAAAAGTACATTAAATTTTCATAGAAAACAGGTTCGATAATTAATTAAATTACAAAATTACCATTTTACCTTTGTGTAAATTTTATATACAAACCATATCTTCACTTCATTACAAAATGAATAAAAGCACCGAATAGAAATAAGGGATAACAACATGCAAAAATATAATTTCACATTCATCAATTGCATATATACAAAAACAATACTGTTTTATATTAATTTCTGTGCGCGATTATAACACACGAGCAGAAGATCGAAGTAGTGCACGATATAACTCAGCTGTCAGTCAACGTTCGTTCTACGAAACTACAGTCTAAGCTATACATCAAATCAGAAATATTACATCGTGCATGACATAAGAAAAAAAAAAAAAAAAATTTAATAGGTATAATGTAACGTGATTTAACTTTGGTTTAAACATATCCTTATACAATTGATATAATTTTTCTTCGCCTAAAGAATCAAGCAGCATTTCAATGTTATATGATAGGAATAAGCTATACAATAGTCCATTTGCTTCGAAACCATTACTTCAAAAGCTATCTTACCCAGCATTGAAATCTCCAGAATATTAGCACGGCATGCGATCAAACATTATCTGGTAACTTTACTTAATCAACTGACATGTCAGAACTATCATGTTGAAAATATCACATTTGTCGTCAAACTTATATTGATCTCCAAGTAGATCGAATTATTATCGAACTATGTAAACGAAATTATATTGCTGGCGGTCGACGTCCAACGGGTGCAATTGTGAGTTTTAATACCAGGAAGGAAAGTTGAATCCAATCGATTACTCTTGGTTGTTTGGAAAAAATGCACATGTTAACAAATGGAAGCTCGATTCTGGGAAAGCAATCCGAACCCTCGGTGAGCAAGTTGACTTGGAAACTCTCCTGCCTTCGAACCCTCTCCTTCACGCACAATCCTTAATCTTTAATGCGCGCAAGCGCAAGCGAACGACGAATTTACTTTATTGACAGCTTTTATTTGCAGCGATCAGTCGTCACCCAGCTTGCGCAAAAGATTTCACGCGAGATCGACGAGAGAATGTTGGGAAACAAGTATTACAAGAATGACATGATTTACATCACACAATTGACGCGAAACGTTCTAAGCTTACTCGG